TTGGAATGATATCGCAGACTGCGTCTTGCGACATGCATCTTTCTTATTGCATCTCTCAACAAGCAGCTGTATACGTCCATCACTTCTGTCATTTTTCTTGCCGACGCACCCGCGGCCTAGTGCTGCGTAAGTGTGCGTGGAAGATCATTTCTGGTGTTACCATACTATGGGTATGATTACGAGATACGAGCATCATGTAACATAGATATCCAATTCTCAAATGAATGAATGCTTTTCATTACGATGACTTGACCCTAATCGCTTGTGTGACTTTTGCCATCTCCTCTTCCTCATCGTGCCATGTTCAGTATCCCAAGTCCGCAGCCGTCTCTTCCAACGCCTTGACAAGACCATCTAACGTGCCTTTGATCAATCCCCCGTTCACCACGACCCTGAAGAACTTGCCCTTCTCGCCCGGCGCAAAGTCAATCATGAAGCCCCTGCTAATAAGCCTATTAGCAATCTCCGTCGTCGCCTTACTATTCGCGTCCGTATCCTCCTTCAACTGCCCACCCTTTGCGTAATAGAAGCACACCTGCAGACACGGCAACGGCTCCGGGCTAATCGTCTTGAAATTGCCACTCTCCTTCAGTTTGCTCAAAAGGTACTCCCCGTTCTCGTATCCACGAGCAACCAAATCGCTAAAGTGCTGCGGGCCGTAGTATTGCAGCGCAAGGAACATCTTCAAGCTATCGGCGCGCCGACCGCATTGAGGTGTCAGATCAGCGAGGTCGTAGATATCCGCTGCGTCGGTGCCGGGCGCGTTGTGGAAGAGGTAGCCCGCTGGCAGCGTGAGCGCGCGGTAGAACGTGTTCATGTCGCGAGCAAGGAGGAAAGAACAAGTCATCGGTACGCCGAGCATTTTGTGCGGGTTGATAGCGATACTGTCCGCGAGTTCGGCGCCGTTGAGCCTCGATTCCCGGTACTTCTCGTTGAAGACCACGCTGCCGCCCCATGAGCCATCGATGTGGAACCAGAGATTTTGTTCCTTGCATATCTTGCTGAGAGCAGGGAACGGGTCGAAAGAGCCCTGAACGGTCGTCCCGGCTGTTGCGTTGAGGAAAAAGGGTGTTTCGCCGCGGTCTTTGCTTTCCTTTACGCAGCGTTCGAATTCAGACGGGATCATGCAGCCGCGGTCGTCGACGGGGACGGCGATGACGTTCTTGGAGCCGAGGCCGAAGAGGTTGGCGGCTTTTTCGACGGAGTAGTGGCCGTGGGCTGAGGTGAAGATGGTGAATTTGTGGGAGCCGTTGCCGTCGGTTTTGGTTTCCGGGTAGAGCGTGTTTCGCGCGATTACTATGGCAGAGCTGTTTGAGGCGCTGCCGCCGGGTTGGGAGATGCCTCCTGAGGTGGAGGTGAGGAGACCGAAAAGGGTTGCGAGATACTTTGTCGTTCGCTTTTCAACCAGGGTTAGGACGGGGGAGACTTGGTAGACGTGTGACTGCGGTGGGTTAATGACGTCTCAAGTACAGAATTTGAAGCAAGACATACGTTGGTGTTCAGTACGGCCAATACCAGTTCGCTGACCACCCCCACAGCATTCGTGCTCGCGTACAGCTTGTCCAGAAACCCTTGATCCCATGTGTTGACAGAGTACTTCAAGATACTCTCCACGAGCTTGACCAGGCCATCTTTACCGGTCTTACCATCATTGATCTCCAACTCTTCCTTCAGAATGGACTCTAGCTTCTTGGGCGGGTGGTGCTCTACTAACGCGGTTCTCGGCCCGCCACCTTCAATTTTCAGTCCATGGCCTGTGTGTTTAGTTCCCGCGTCTTCGTCGGCTGAGCGGATGAAGGGTATTATCAGCTCTTGAACGGATTCGAGAAGCTGATTCTGCTGTTAGCGGATGTCTCTATTGCATATGTAGATCCTTGTCTGGATCTGATGAATGAGAGGCGCGATGGGGGTTCAGGGACATGTCGGAACAATCGGAATGCCCTTCCGAGTCACTTACGTCTTTGACTTCCTCAGCGCGATGGAGGGTTTCTCCCTGTTGTGGGGATGACATCGTGAGAAGCGTATGCACGGATTGTATTATAGCAATACAGGAAGATTTATGGACTTTTGTGTGCTCGTACTTGAAGTAATGAAGAGTGTAGAAGAAGTCACAAACACAAACAAAGATGGCCGAGTAGTCGGCGTTAGCGCCGAACAATTAGCAATGACGAACATGGAGTCATCGATTCTTTCTGCTCGGGGTACAAGCCACATTCCTAAAGCAAAACCGTTCTCATGCAAGTATGCCACTAAAAGGTATCTAGAGTCGTCGAATCAGAAAAATGCGTGACAGGCCCACCTAAGCCCTAAGCCCAGCTCGGAAAACGCCGTTAAACGATGCCTCATTCTCAGCGAACCGTGCTGACAAAAGAAATTCCTGTACATGATGTATAATGTGACTATTATTGCGCAACAAGGCTCTTGGCCTTGCTGCTGCTTCCGCTGCTGACACTGCTGTTTGTCGTGTGACTCCCCTTCTTCGGCTTTTTGCCGTCCTTGGCTTGTGAGGCTTTCGCAGCGGCATGCTTCTGCCTTGCCAACTCGATAGCTGTCAGATGTCTTCCCGCCCGATGGTTTTGTGGGGGTGTTGCGTCGCCGTTGGACTCGGGGAAGCTTTGGAATCCGTCATTGCCGGCAGTGTAGCGTGATTGTGTGACCCAGTCGCCGCGTTTGCGTTTGTAGAGATCCATGCGCCAGTTTCGCCAGACCGCACGCCCGACGAAGGATTCGCGAAGCGAGTTCTCATTCTCGGCCAACTCTTCCGCGATGCGCTCGCGGATGAAAGCGAGGCCAGCTGTACCGTGCCAGATGGCGTCGATGACGTGGGATGCAGCAGGATCAAGTGCAAGTTCACCAATCTTGCCATAGAACTGTTGTATCATTTTTCGGCGAAAGATGACGGAAGCGTTCTTCGACATTAGGGCCGCTTGAAGCGTCCGTGACGCTGTAGAGTCGCGAGCGAGCTGAACGGCGAGTTCAGGGGACAGGTTGGCCAGAGAGTCAAAGACAAGTTGGCCGAGGGGCCCATCCACGGTCATCATGGTTTGTGCCAGGAGTGACCCATGAACCTTCTCGGGTGAGTGTTCATGTTTAGCACGAGGCTTGCCGTCTTCCTCACTGAGCTTGAGAATGCGGGTGACTTCGAAGCCGTTGGAGCCGGCATATGCAGTCTCCAGTTGAGCCTTGATAGGCGAGCAGTCGATGTCACGCGCGACGCATCGCTCGATGAGTGTCTTAATAACTCCCGTCCGGCCACGTTCTACTAAGCTGGGGATCTGGTCCACGATTTGACGCATGGCTTCTTCTAAGTCATCCTTGCCAAGTCTTTCCATGATCTTTCCAACGACGTAGGCTGCAATCTCGTTGCGAGCTAGCGTACCCATACGTTCCTTGAAGAACTCTCCGTAAATGGACTTGAATACCTTTCCGGGCGCATTCTCGATGATGACTTCCAGTAGTCGGGAGCCAATGGTGTCGTACACAAGCCCGTTGATCAGGATGGCGCTTTCTGTTCCTTCCGCGATAGGATTGTCTGGGAGAAGTCGGTGGATGATGGACTTTTCGTCCTTGGCGCGCGACTTGCCGAAGTGGGAGAGCTCCAGCTTGAGCAGCAGTTGTAGAGTGGGACTGCCGAGTGGGTGTGTGGTTAGGGTGCGGAGGTAGTGCGACTCAATACCCGAGACACTCTCGCTGATGACCTTCTCCAGGGCTTCGGAAAAGCTTTCGGGGACGGCCCTTTCTTCGAGTAGACGTTCCTGCTCCTTCTCTGCGCCTGAGACGGTGACCTTCTCCTTCTTCTTGCTCTGCATAGCCGACTTGTTCTGCTTTTCCAGCGGGGCGCCTGACAGAATGACGAGTAGTACTCTCAGTACGTGCGATGCATACTTGTCGGTCATTAGGAAACCCATGTAGCCCTCCAGCTCGCCCAGCGTGTACAGGAACAAATTCTCCATTGAGACGAGGACTTGGTCGGGGTCTGACGACGGGGGTGTTGCAAGCTTCTCAGGTTTGGTAGCAGTCTCTTGGGTGACGACAGGCGCGGCTTGTATGAAGAGGGCTTCGCAGCAGTGGGACGCGAATCGGTTCTGGACCAGGTTGAGGAAGCTGCGACGGGTTAGCAAGTTGAATGGGGAAGGAGCGATTCGGTACGTACTTTCCGCTGAACTTCTGGAACAGGCCCTTGAGCTGGTCGGGCGAGGAAAGAAGGATCAGGCGTTCGAGCAGGCGCGACGTCTGGCTGTTGGCGATTTTCAGTTCCTTCCCGTCGGCCTCCTTCCAGACGCTGGCGAGGAAGATGTCGCGGTCCTCGGAGCTCTCGAACTGGTTCAGCTCGAGCATCTCGTCGGCTTTCTTGAAGTACTCCTGCTCCTGCTCGTCGAGCATTCCGTAGAAGGGCGTCGCATCCGGGCGGGCGACGTCATGCTCGGGGACATGCTGCGCAGGGTTTTCGGCTTCGAGCTGGTCGAGGTCCTCCTTCTTGAAGCGCTTTGCACTCGCATCGTCGTCCTGGTCCCGCTTGCGCTTCTTCTGGTCGTCGCGGCGGCCGCGCTTCTTGTGTTCCTTGGGCATGGCGGCTGGCGATGACGGCAGCGGCGCAACACAAAAAGTTTCGCAACTTCGGCTATTGGGCGGGGAGAGGTCTGCAGTGCGCACGCAGCAGTGCAGGGCAGGACAGGCAGTAAATAGACAGCGGCGGAACAGAACCGCCTGGGCCTTCTTTGCAGCGGTACAGAGGTTTGCAGGGCGTGGGTCACGGCAGTAGGTGGATTAAGGACGTTCTCCAATAGTGGCCTGACGCACGGTTGGATCTTGCTGGATCTGAGAATCGGCTGGGATGATCGATCGGTGGCGCAGGACGAGAATCGTGGGAGGGCGCACAGGCCGGCCACCGAGGCTCCAGCTGCCAGGGCGGGCGTCGGTCGCCACACGTAGGCAGCCCGTACCGACGCGACGTGCCTAGGCGCACTCCAACGCCCACCACCGCCCGTTGATCGTACGAGATGGACGACAACCAGACTCGCGTCGCCGACTACCTCGACGACAAGCTCCAGAATGCCGCTGACCTCGACGGCCTCGACGCCCTATTGGCCACGCTGAACTCGCAGCATGGGCTCCTCCGCCAGCAGCTCGACGACGCACAGCGCGACCTGCACACGGCCAAGGAGGCCTCGCATTCGCACCATGGCGACCTCACGCGCGCCGCCGACCGCTTCACCCACGAGCAGGCCGACATTGACCGCCGCCTGCTGGTCATCACCGCCTCCGAGACGAGCGACGAGGCCGTGCCCCGCTTCGAGCAGGTCCTCGACACGCTGCACCGCCTGGACGTCGCCAACGGATACGTGCAACTGCTGGCGGACGTCGACGTTCTGAGGTAGGACAGCCCCCGTGTCCGATACGGCCTCAGTCAGCTGATTCCGCGCAGCAAGCAAGCCCAGGCGCAGCTCCAGACGTCCAATGAAGCCGCCCTCGCGCCCTACAAGCAGCTGCGCGCACTGCACACCCGCCTCGTCAACCTGCAAGACGACGCCGAGGGCGCCGCGCCCCAGCTGCTCCACCACGTCAACACCATCGCCCAAGCCCTGCGCACCAAGATCCTCGACGCCTTTGCCGCCGACCTCGACCGCACCCTCAAGAAGATACACTGGCCCACGCCCAGGGCCGCCATACCCAGCCCGCTGCAGGAGGAATGGGAGACGGCCATCGTGAAGCTGCTCGATCTGCAGCTGCCCGAGCTGCAGGGCATGAGCTATGCCAGCGGGCCGGGCGACAAGGTCAAGCTCCCGCCCGTCCTCTTCCCCATCGAGGTGCTCGTGCAGCCGCTCGAGATGCGCTTCCGCTACCACTTCGACGGCGACAAGCCCACGAACCGCATTGATAGGCCCGAGTACTTTCTCTCGCACATTACCACGCTTTTGAACGACTACAGCGCATTCGTCAGTGACCATGTGCAACCTGTCCTGCTGCGTCACTTCCGCGGCACCGATCTTGCGCTTAACCCCGTCTACATCGATGCCATGTCCGCCTTCATAACCGCCCTACTGCCCATGCTGCGCTCCAAGATTGGCTCGCTACTGCCCCAGGTCGCGGGCCAGCCCCAGCTGCTCAGCCACCTCATGCACGAGATAATGAGCTTTGACACGACCATCAGAGACACCTGGGGATATGACGGCGGCTATGGCGTCGACGGATGGAAGGGCTTATCATGGGAATTCCTTGTTCAGGGCGACTGGTTTGGCCGGTGGCTGCAGGTCGAAAAAGACTGTACGTTGGCCCGTTACCCAACGGAGAAATGTCGGGTTGCTAACATCCGTAGTCGCTCTGTCTCGCTATCAGAACATCGTCGAGGCTCCAGATTTCGGTGATCTCGACTACGAGAGCGTCGATCCCAAAGCCACCAAGCCTACCAAGGGAGCGATCCGCGTGAACGACCTGCTCGAAACCATAACCGGCATGTCCTCGCCTACCCCTCCTTTCCAGATGCGTCGCTAATCAGCAATGCATTGCAGATCGATACAGACCCTTGACATCCTTCAGCCAGAAGCTCACCTTCCTGATAGACATACAGATTGCCATTTTCGACAAACTCCACGAAAGGCTGCAGAGCAATCTGGAAGCGTATCTGTCCATGACCACGTCACTGGGTCGCGCTATGGGCGGTGTGACCAAGGAGGAACAGGAGAAGCTGCTTGGCGTCGAGGGACTGGAGCGCCTTTGCAAGACGTATGGCAGTGCTGACTATCTCGAACGGGCCATGCGTGACTGGAGCGACGACGTGGTAGGCTCTCACTTGCATGATTTCTGTGTGACCCGAACTTCGGCTAACCCCTTTGTTCTGTAGTTCTTCCTCGATATCTGGGAAGGTCTACAAGATCGTGCTCGTGGCCAGACTAGCAATATTGGTACCATGAGCGTGGCCGACGTCGCGGAACGCACATCCAAGAACGTTGAAAGTGACGACGTCGATGGCGGTTCCCTCTTTGACGAGACGGCATCGTGGTACGCGCGCCTCCGTGAACGCAGTGAGAAGATTATCATCGACACACTCAACAGCAATGTGCGTGAGGCGCTGCGTCCATATCGGCACATGTACGTATCCAGATCTGGACCCCTGCCCTGTGGATCCAGATCCAAAACCCTATACTTCCTAATCCCACTTACTAATATTTGCTTTTAGCAACCCGTGGGCAACTCTTAGCGGACCCTCCGCTTCAGCCTCGACCGCCACAGAACTGTCACCAACTGCAGAAATCGACCCATTACTGACCTACCTACGTAGCACGCTAGCATTCCTTTCGCGAGCTCTAGCATCTGCGCCATTGCGCCGCATCACTCGGGCCGTCTTGACCACCATCTCGACAACGCTGTGGGAGAATGTGCTCAGCCGGTATCGATTCTCTACTCAGGGAGCTGCCCAGCTACACGCTGACCTCGCGGCCGTTTGCCGAGTCGTGGACAAGCACGTTGGTCCAGGGGTTGCCGAAGCGGGCTTAGCCAAATGTCTCGAAGGCGTCAAAATCGTCGGATTACCCGTAAAAGGCACTTCAGCCTCGCATGTTGATACTGCAACGGGTCGGGATGACGACGGTGGCGAAGAAGACGAGGACTGGGACACGGGAGCTTGGGCCGCAGAAGACGGTGATGAGCTGCATGATGCTCCGCAAAAAGCAAATTCCACCCGTGACACAGCGTCTGGGGTTGAGGGAGGAGGGGAACTTGGGCTGTGGGAGGTGGAGAGGCGGCTTTTTGCGGATAATCAATCTGCGAGGGATGTGCTGGAGGACTTGGGATTGGAGCTTCTGAGTGAGACGGAGGCGCGGGCGTTGTTGAGAAGGAGGGTTGAGCTGGCTGGATAGGCCTGTGGGTTTGCGATTGAAAGTTTGAGGCGACGGGACTATCGGAAGGGTTGCGCATGCTGTGCGGGTATCCAATAGTTGAGTCCCGGTCCGTCACGATGGCATTTGTGGTGTTGAGCATGGCGATGCATGTGTCCGATGTAGGAATCCAAGACACTTCACACTTCACATTTACCCGACAGCGCAGACCTGTCTCACTTGACAACGCATGCTCATCGTCAAATAAACCTTGAATTTCATTCCTGGGTATCATATCCATCATATCTGCTCTGATCAATTTTCCCACATCCATGCCTGCCCGCAATCATTACTCAGCCAGCCGTGCTGACCCGGAAAACCGTCATCTCCCCGCACTGCTCAAGCGGACCCGAGCAGTCGCAACACCATAGCAGCAAGAGCAATCCAGCCTAGTTGGAATACTTGGGATTAACCTTCTTGCCAGTGACCTTCTCGTACGCCTTGCGCATGCCGTCGGTCTAGTTTTCACCTCGTTAGCTCTCACCCTCAACAAACTGCAACCAACACCTCGCGCACTACTGTTCACGAAGCATATACAGTGGATTGTCTGAACTTACAATCTTCTCGCTCATACCACGGTTCGCAGCAATCTTCTGACCCTGCGCGCCGCCGAACTTCTTGGCTCCGGCGTTGAAGGCCTTGTCGAGGTAATCCTGACCTCCGGCACCGGCACCACCGCCATGGTTGGGGTTGTTCATGTCTGCGGGTTGGGAAGGGTGTGGTAGACTTGCTGGGTAGATGTGCGATGACGGTTGTGAGATGGAGTAGAATCGCGCGATGGACAGTTGATGGTGTAGTGGAGGATGAAGCAGAACGGTGAGGTGAGTAAACAGTCGAGTCGATCGCAAGGAAAAGGGCCGTGAGTCAATGCTCTTTTTATGCGCTTGTCCACGCTTCCCTCACCTGGACCCTTGTTCTGTGAAACCTTAACTCGTTATCACGCTCTTGCTGGGTACGCGGCCAATGAGGCGCGTAGGCTAATCACTCATATCGCACCGCCACGATTTGCAAGCTGAGGAAAGAGCATCTAGACCTCCGGCTTCATGACCGCGTGGTCTACTGCGCCTCTAGTGACGTTTGCTTTTCTGCTATGTCAGCTCACTATTGCGGTTTGCAGTGGGTCGTGATGGGCTGGCTCAATAGGCGGTGTTGCGGCCATTCAATATTGTACCGGAGTAGGTTGCAGGAGAATATGCATCGTGGTGCATCGCGTGCATTCTTAGCTCGATCGTGCAGAAAACTTGGCTTTTCGGGCCGCTGAAGCTTGGCTACGTAGAGCGTTCTACAGAGGAGAGTAGAGTTTGTGGAGGGGCGGACGGGGGAGATTAACCTGGTAGACAGACGGTCGAGAGCATGTATGTGATGGTATGCAGAAGGCGCGAGGGGCAGCGTGGGAGCGGTGTGACATGACGTCATGCATGTCAACCAAACTATGCTGCGCATGTGAAGGCACGTCCAAGTTGTAATTCACATCGTAAAGCTTCATTCAGGGTCGTAAATATATATACAAAGCATATTCAGTGCGCCGTTGCGACAGGCTGTTGCTGCACTCTCTGCTGCTCAAATGTCCGCTGATGTTCAAGTTCATGCTCCTGCGCCTGGTCGTCCAAACTGCGCGACCTCAACGGGACAATCGTTCCATTGATCCTCTCAATGTACGGCCGACACTTGTTCCATTTGTCATCCAACTTGTGCATCGTCTCTTTGAGTGTCGAGGTGCGTTTAGTTGGAGACTTTGTCGGGGACGTCCTTGCCGGTTGCTTTTTCGAACATGTTACGAGCGCCATCGGTCTGCGTGAACGTTAGTATATTGAGATCATGCAACTTGAAAGCTAGTAAGACCAAACTTACAATCTTCTCATTAACACCCCGATTCTTCTGAGTATCCTGACCCGCGGCGCCGCCGAACTTCTTCTCTGCGGCGTCGAGACCCTTGTCGAGGTAGTCTTCGCGCTGCGCTTGGTTCTGCTGAACACCCGTCGTCGATGTGTCCTGGCTGGTGGGTCCTTGGGAAGCATTTCCTGGGATGGAGTTCATCTTGTCTTAACCTTGCGAGGTGCGGGAAGGCTAAAGTCTAGATGACGAGTATAAGCGGGAGACTGGTGCGATCCAGATTGGTAGTCTCACAGGTGCGGCTTGTACGGATCGTGGCGTGGACTTAGTGGTTTAAGGGTCGTAGTGATCACTGTAGCGTGTATTGAGGCTTGTAAAGGTGACGACGCCACGACCTTGGAAGGTAGGCAAGCCTTAAGTAGGTTCTCAGGATTCACAAAGGAAGCCGCGGGGCATGATTATGGGAGTCGTCATGGAGAACCACAAGTCACACCATATCTGCATATCTGCCCTATCAGCAACTGAGCATCTTGAACGAGCATTATCAAACGATGCTGCATCCCAAACGGGTTGCCAAACTTCCAAAAACTTGGCTTTCGGGCACTTAAACTTGGCTTTGGCCCTGCTGCCGCGTGGGCTGCGGAAATAAAAGCCTTAATTGATCAAGAAAGTTAATGCGTCCTATCAAACGATGCGGAGACGTTGCTTCTCCTACCATTTATTCACTGGCAGTGGAAGCGCGTTGTTCAAGCGCTGTTTGACGATCCACCACACCTATGACATCACACATCGTTGACTTCCAAGGGGATTTTACCCGGTATGACGCATCACTAGGTAGTTTGATCTGCGAATCTCGATGCTTCTGGATAATCTTTTTCCAAGCTTGGGACCGGAAAGCGGAACGTGAAATGTGGACCAGTTTTGCGTGTCGTGCATAATGCGGAGACGGTGGTGGAGCGAGCAGGCATAAGCGATTTATCGTGGAATTCTTTTCGTGGCAAGTAAGCCGCGATGCTCGTATGAGAGTGATGAAATTTTGCATCTGTCATTAGAGCATACCCCATGAATGTAGTTACTGCGACTGGGTGCATATGGTAAAGAGCATTCAATGCTGTCGCTCGCGGCTTCCACATGTTCAGCCTCATGCGTGCCTGCGCTAACCAGAAAAGCGCACACCACGTTTGCTCGTCTGCCTCGTCTGCTTTGGGACGCGTCTGCCTTGAGGGCATCTCTTGTGATGAGCTGCTACCTATGTGTGACTCCCTCCCAAACGTCAGGCGTTCAGATCGCGTGCTTGGAACTCACCTTTACCTTTGACCTTTACTTGATAGCACCGTGATGGTGTCACGTATATTCACATACTCCCTCTTTGACTTGAAGCGGTACCACACTAGCAAACAACAGAACACGTCAAGGACAATAGGTAAACGGTATTGTGCAGTTTCGTTCTACAAACAGGCTAGACTACCATCACCTAATCCATCGCGGCCATCACGCCATCAACATCATGGTCATATCCTAGCAACGACCGTACCATCGTAAACACCTCCTCTCGTCCCCGATTACTCACCCCGAAACGCCATTGTAAAGATGAGTCCACGTCTAATGTGTACTACTCGATCCCAACGACAGAAAGAGAAGCCTGGGGTATCTCAAAAGGGTATAAAGCTACTTGAGCTCTGACGACTCGAAGGTCTTGTAAAGCAATCACACCTGCCCCAACGCCTGTGCTTAAACGCACTGTATAATGGACGAAGACGCTGTAACGCACGACAAAAGACAACAGAAAAGACATACAAGGAAGGAAAAGACGTATGAACGAAGCAAAGCGACGTGGAAGGGACGCATCAACCGAACTGCTTGATGAGAGAGTGCAGAAGATGGCAGAAGAGTCCGTGGAGGTCAACAAAGAAGTTCTCCTGACCGACGATCTCGACGAGGCTCTTTGCCTTCATCACATCGCGGGACACACGGGGAAAGCCATCTGGGTCGACCTTCTTTGCGGAAAGGAAAGAGGACACAGGTGTGATGTTGCGGAAGTTGGGGGTGCTCGTCGTGGAGAAGGTCCGTTCTTTGTGCGGTGCAGAGAAGTTGGGTGGCATTGAAGAGGCGGAGGTTCCAAGAGGAGGAGTGTTTCCAGAGATGGCGGTGGTGGGACGTGAGAGGACTTGCGAAGCTGCACTCTCACGTTCAAGGACTCTATCAGCCAGGGAGATGATCCGGTTGGCGATGCCCTCAAAGGCTTCGATGATCTTCACCATGGCCTTTGTGGCTCTCCGGTAATCGCGACCGGCCATGGCGATGAAGGCGTAGGTGCGCTTAGCTCCTCGCGAACGCGGATCTTGCAGACGGAAAACGTACGCGATGGTGTAGCCAGCGACTGAGTCTCCGAACATGATGGGGCCGGATGGCTTGCTGAGGGGAAGGACCTCGGTGGACAGTGTACGGATGCAGGTGCGTCGCAGGAGCGAGTAGGTGCTGGGCGACTGCGGCTGACTGGTGGAGATGTAGTTCAATGTGTGGGTGTGTATGCCTCTCGACACGAGCATCGGCGAGGGAGGTATTGAGTCTGGGAAGGAGCCCGAGGCGCCGCTCTGGTAGGAAGTCGACTGCTCAGTGTCTGAGACATCGGACGAATCGGTGCTACTGAGGTCGTCCCGGGACACTGGTCGTCGCACTGGGTAGTTCTGGGAGCTACGCAAGACCGGGCTGCCATTTCGTCCTCTTCCGTCTTTCGTGGGACTACCAGGGGCGCCGTTGGGGATCTTGTCGCTGTACTTCTGGGGCACTACCATCTGGCAGTTCTCGCAGGCGTCCGAGTCGGAGTCGATGGTGCTGCTGGTTCTCCGCCCGCCAAAACTACTGCCGGAAGAGGAGGGAAAGCTCGGAAAGTATGGGTTGTGCGTGGGGGAGCGCGGGCTGTTGGGCGGCGACTCGAAGGGCGAGGTGAGCTGTGGCAGGCGCGCGTTAAGCTTGAGGGTGGTGGGCTGATCGTACAGGCCGTTGTAGGAGTAGGCCGAATGCGGCTCTTCGGAAGGCGGCGTCACACATGGGTTGCAGGAGCCGCAGGGCGAGGTCGAGGCCTGGGTGCAGATGATGGATGTCGGACCGTGGGTCTCGCAGAAGTGTGCGAGGGAGATCTGAGGTCGCGTTAGCCGGGCTCGTGACATGGCCGGCGAGTGTAAGCGCGCGGGGACTTACCGTAAAGTCCATGGTTCCTGCTCTCTGTCTTATCTCTACCGTCTCATGGTGGTCGCTCTGGGTGGTGGTGGGTCGGGGTCGTGGCTCAGCTGACAATCGATAGCCCAGAGGGGAGTAGTTGCCGCGCTCGTCGGGACCGGGCTGCTCTGGTGTGGTGGTGGATGGGCTGTGAGTGGCAGGTGCAGAGGTTTCAGAAGACAAAGGGTGGCGAGGTCGCGTGTGAAGATGGCGCGGGTGGAGTGGCACTCGGATGGGGATCGTGGTGTTGGTCGCAAACGTTGGGCCGGGCTCGTAGGATTATATGGAACGGGCTTACAGCACAGCGCTAGGACTCGACTGGCACTCTGCACGGCATCGAAGGGGCATACTTAGGCCCTGGAGACACGCACGGCGCCGAGGACCTGGCGGATTTAGCTCACATCATGGCGAGGATTCCTGGGAGCAATTACGGGGGCAGCGGAGCATCTTTGCAAGAGCCGACGCTACTGCGGCCGGGGTGAATGCGGCCTGTTGTTGCGGTCAGTATCAGCAGCGCGCCATTGGCCGCCCAGCCACAGGCTCGTTACAGCACACACTTGACAGTTAGACGGCCTGCACGCCTGTGTGACACGGCCTGGGGGCAGCCGACGGCAGCGCGCACCCAGCACTGCTTCCAGCGGGCGTGCCTGGACGAGTGCGCCGTGTGTGATGGAAGGATGCCGCCGTGTTACAGGCACACGAGCGGACGGCCCATGCATGCAGAGCGTCGCTCGAGTTGCATCGGCCACCAATGACGCAGCCCGCGCCCCGTGCATCGCCCTCCGGTCGCGCCTGCACGCTGAACCATGCGCCACTTCCCGATCCAGAGGGGATGCGACTGCCTCTTCCACTACCGATCAGCGCCCCCAACGTTCACCTTGTGCGCGTCGCGTTGCTTTTGTCGCTGCCCGTTGCACGTCATTCCCAATCTGCCACGGACGCAGCGCTCCCAGTGACGCCCGCCAATCACACCTCGCCTGAAACACGTACGGTACCTCTGTCATGCCCGCCTCAGACTCTGCGCCCTCCTGGCCCCGTCAATGGTGGGATGAGGTGGAGCGATACTTGCAGAATAATTGTCCGCCTCTCTATTGACGCGGGCGGCAAAGTCCGTCGAGTACCCCATTGGCCCTGGCCTCGCCTCTCAATCGGCCGACGCCAGACCAGACGAGCGCTCGTCGCTTTCCAGAAGACACGCACGGGCGCCTATGGAAGCCATGGAAGCTGCCAAGTGGGCCTCTCCAACGACGACCTGCCTGCTCGGCCTTTGCGCCAACCACTACAGGGTCTCGAGCCTCTGTCGTCTGATTCTGGCCCTCTTAACCGCCACTTACCCGGACGCTGGAAAATTGCAATGGAAAAAATCCGGGGACTGCAATATACACGTCTGCCGATGACGGCCCTCTGCCGACCCAAATAGGCATCCTATATGGCAGAATGCACTTCGACCGAGTGCTGAGCTGTACAGAGTCCAGAGCAGAGTGGGTATGCTTAACACCCTCCTGTTATGGTCAAGCACAATATACCGCCATGTCAAGCTTTTAGCTAGAGCATACATAAACTGGCCGCATGCAACACCTGCTCGCTCGGCTAGGTGACAGCTGCAGGGTCCGTAGTTGCCGTCGGCCTTCATGATCAGCTAGAAATCATAGCGCGCTACGCGACCGGACCAGTACGTAATATTTGCGGGCTCGTCGCCGTTGGTGGCATCGTGAAGCAGAAACTAAGCCAAGCCAGCAGGTACAAGCCTCAACAACCGCTGCAAAGCGGAAATTGCACGGCAACCGACATATGTCAATTCTTACAGAGGAAGGTGCAGAGTTTGGCCGCTACAATGTCTTCTCTTGGTACTGTACATGCTAACTCGCTATCATGGCTCGTGCTCATCGTCCAACTCTCCTCCGTCAGCTGCCCGACCTCGCAGGATGTCATACCCCATTACTTCGTTGATGAACTTCTTCGACATCTTCAGCTCCTCGTAGCGTATCCTTTCCTGTTCTGTAAAGTCTCTCGCCCCCGTCTCCATCATCTGGGCTATCAGTGGAGCCCAGACCTGATCAAGCTGTGTTATGCCAATCTGTGTACAAGGAATGTCGTCTAGTAACGCAGGTGAAACCACACCAGCATCCTTCCAGTGCTTTCTCCAGCATTTACTCGTATGTGGCGACATGTGAGCTCTGTACGTTAGGAGATATCTTCGCCGCTCGCTATATACCGGGCAAGCGAGGAGCTTCGCAACTTGCCCAATGCCACCAAGTATGAGGAAGAAGGCCACATCCTCGGAACAGGCTGGCTGGTTTGAAAATCCCCGCAGGAACTTTTCCACTGCTCCAGCGCGACTACAAGGTCTCAGCTTTCGAAGCAGCACCTGCACAATGAAACAGTACATGTAGAAGTACTGAAGTCGCAGTGGTGCATCCAGGTTCTTCAAGATCTTCCTTTCTTGGCTACTGATACCACCCGTCGTACGGACGTGATAGCCAATACGGGAGCGTGGTCGAATGTGGCCGAGATCTCTTTCCAGAAGGAGTCGTCGATGTTCATCTAGAAAGTAGCCTACCCCAAAGACCAGGGGTAGCATCCTCTCGTACACCGATGTCCACAGCTGCCTCTGTTCGGTTGGCTCCCCTACAAGGTGATTGGCAAGCTGACGTGTCAACCTGATGGACGCTATGTGTCGCCGTCTCATAGTGAGTAAGAATGGGAAGTCGATCGCGTCCGGTCTTGGAGCCGGATAAAGTTGTAGATGAAGATTGCCGAGCCGGTTCTTCACCCAGTAGCGCACAATCGCAGGTGCGTTCTCTGTCACAAGCATGTTGAGCACGCGGGACGTTCTCCTCAAAGCAAGCAGATCCGAGACGCACAGCTCGCGCAGCATGTAAATGTGGAGTTCATCTGGCAACCGAAACAATGCATCTAGAAACGGGCTGTGTTGCGATGATCAGTGGTGTTCCCCAGTGTGTGAAGTGGACACGGTACGTACCTCGAGGGGCTGGGCTCTAGCTCCTCGTCTGCACTACTCTTCCTCTTACTCCGTAGCGACGCAAGAAATCTACTCTGAAAGCCACCTGCCGCCCTGCCCAAACTCGATCTCTTCTTCGCGATCGCCTTGTCCCCCGTCACAGTCCCAGATCCCGATCGGTTCCTCACCCGCTCGGGCGCTGGGTGGCCTCTCTGAAACTTCTCCATGGCCATATCGCGATCGGCCAATCCAGGCTAAACACAGCCTCGTGGAAGCGGCAGCGCTCAGCGCGCGTTTTCGTTGCGTTACGTCAACGTCTGAAACCTCATTATCGCAATAAAGACTGCAGCATCCTTTGGTAGCACAAAACGTGTAGGCGAGAGACGTTGGGTAGGGAGGTGGAGTTGTCAGGAGCGAAACTGGACGGCCATGCGCATGATGAGATGCAGAACAGATTGGCCTTAGCTTTCCCAGCGTTCGGGCATCGGTAAACACGACAGGCATGGTACGAGGCCCGGTCCAAGCCACATGGCCACGAGGGATAAACTCTGAAACGCGGCGGATTTGCCGGACCGCTGATAAAGAAGCCAGTCAGAAAGGGCTGATTCTAGAAGGGCGACTCGCAGGCTAGCCATGATGACAGTTGCTTGACTCGCAACCACGATCATGGTTTATGGGTGTATACTCAAGATTCGATCGTGCAACCACTGCGCGATATTCAATGTCGTAGCGCTTGTGTTGCCGCTATCAATAAGTAGTCTACGATATAGTCTGCGCCATGCCGTCAGTGTGCATTCGCGACAGACCGCATCAACGTGGACAGCAACCGTGCACAGCGCCCATCAAAACACCAGGCGAACCCTGCGACATCGACGAGTTGACACACTGACAGCTATGCGAACCATGTCGCATAGTCGGATGACTTTGGCTGCCTCGGGCATCAACGACTAGCTGCGTCTCCGCCTGAACCCTACATGGCAGCCGATGTAGGCAAATCGTAATAACGGCCGTAAGCAGCGAGATCACGGCGGCCTCTTATCTCACGATAACCATGACCATCCTCATAAAAGTTATGAGTCTATACAGTGGGTATACCTTGGTGTCAGCGATCTGACCTGGAGATGTGGTAGGCGGAATACGATAGTACCTGGCTACGTTAGGATGTCACTCTCATGCCTACCACATCATCAACGATGTGACCTACCCTCAACAGCAGTATATCGATGTACAGATATGCCAGCTCGGGTAGTACCGACGCAAAAGGCCTGATCCAGACTCTAATTTTGCTCCAGCGGTGACTTTCTGCGTCCCTTGTTTGCGTTGATCAATACTTTTCTAGGTAGGTATTCATGTCGACAAAACGCAACCCGATGTTCTTTCAATAAAGTCTATCAAACCCCAGCATTTCCCGAACTGCTCTGCATGCGTCTAAGGGGAGTCAGGCTCAACGGCGGTCGCTACGACAGATGCCATGTGGCCTGACAGCAGAAAATGCGGTAGCACAACAGCAGCCGCCGGGCCGTCGCCAAACTATCACGACAGCCCGAAGCGGGCACGAAACGATCGAACTTCTCATACGCCCTTGACGACGCGAACTAGGCAAGACTTAGAACTTCAATCCCGAGTGTGGCTCCCAAGCTACCCCTCCAACCCCACATGACCTATGTCAAGAAGACGTAGCAGCAAGAAATGCCTTCCTCCGATGATGCAAGACGCAGGAAATAACGAGGCGACAGTACATGCATATGCATATGTAAACCCCCTTCAACCCGCACATCCGCCATGTCGTACGCCCATCTCCGACTCCCATCGTCCAAACGTACCTTGCATGCATCCGCGCCGCGCGTGCAGTCTACCGCTCTCCCCGGATAGCACCTCCCCTGCCAAAGCAAAAGTCGCACTTCATCAACAGTCACACAACGTAAATCACCATGCGTTCCACAACCTCGAACCGACCTGTCAAATCTCTAGTCCTGCATGCCGCACAAATAGCCAAAATGGCACCCGAAGGCTTCCCCGATCCCAGCACAGGAGGCAATGTGACGTGGAAAACGCTGGTTTCGAATGAGAAGACTGAGACGGATACGTTCACGGTGGGTGTTGCGACATGTCCGCCTGGAAGGGTTGTGGCTTGCCCCGCGTCTTCTTCTACGAGCGATTCTGGGATCCCAAGTCCATCTCTGCAGAATCCGGAGTCTTTGGGCGATGTGGGGTTTCTGAAGTTGCATCGCCATGCACACGCAGAGATATATCACGTTGTGTCTGGTGCTGGGACGGTTTGTATTGAGGGGCAGGAGTATGAGGTTGAGAAGGGGTCAGTGGTTTTCATACCGGGGGATGCGGAGCATGGTATCTTCAATACGGGAAAAGAGGACTTGGTCTGGCTGTATGTATTTGCGGCGGATGGGTTTGAGGATATTGTTTATCGCTTCAGTGAGCAGGGTGGGAGTGGGAAGCGTGGTAAGGTTTTGGAGGCGAAGCTGTAAAGAGATGAACATAGTGGCTATGCAAGACCGGAGGATGGTCATCATTCTATCTGGACACATGCACTTCCGCAGACTGCGCAATAAGCCAGCGCTATATCGCCCGTCAAACAACCACTGGTTCATCCACTCTGCGCATCACCCAAGGGTGGCGAAGGGACTGAGACTACTTCTCAGTGGTCGGCGGAAGCTTCAACTCGGTCGGAATCACGACGGGCTCTACAGGGCCCTTCTTCTCTTCTTTGGTAGGCGGGTCATCTTTCTCGCCAACAAAGACGCGCTGCTCCTCGTCGTTCTTCATGCTTTTCTTTCGGTCCTTCTCTTCATCCGCGGCTGACTTACGTTTCCGAATTGGCATGGTGGTGTCGCTTGCAGCCTCTGCTTGGTCGCCAGCAGTGGAGTCTTCTGGCTGTTTCGGAACCTCCTTATCTTCGCCTTGAACGCCGGTACCAGTACCGTCACCGATATCGCCAGCAGCATCTGTCGATTTAGAGCTGTCCTCCGCAGTTTCCACCTCCTCCATCTGGTCCTCGCCCGCATTAGACTTTCTCTCATTGCCTGACAGTTCGTCCTTAGACTTCTTCTTTGTTCCGGCCCACTTCTCGCCTTCGCCCACCTTGTCAAACACAGTCCTCATTTTCTCTTCAAGCCAGGACTTGATCTCAAACGCCGTATCTTCTACGGCTGGCCAGGAGTGGCTCTTATACAGCATCACCCAGTCGTTTGACTTCGGATCAGGATATACAATCAGCCCGCCCCTGTACTCTATGCTATCTTGGCTGTCGGTCCGTGGGATGGATGAGGTGATGAAGTCGTAGCGTTGCGCTTCAGGGAAGCGATGCGCGTAATATGCATTCGCGTTGGAGAGGATGCGCTTCTTTATATCGTTGAAGTCGAAGGTGTATTGAGGATTATAGCCCCTGGGCATTTCAGGAATGTCGCGCCTATCCATACGACGCTCGTTTCTGTTATTTGATGGTTCCTGAAGCCTTAGAAACTTACTCACCTTCAAGTCTCGATGAGGGTGAGGTTCGGAGTTCATGTTTTGTTGGACCGTGTAGCTGACTGTGAGTAATCAAGAACCTCGTTAGCCAACGGGGTAGGGAGAGCTGATAAGAGCTAATTGCAGCAGAGGTTTGCGTGTACGTTGGATCGCGGAAGGTTCAGGAAAAGGCAGGTGCATCCGGGTGTTTGATTCATCACGCGCATCGCGAGTTACGTGGAAAACCCAAATATGGCGAGAACCTTTCTTTCACTTTCACCAAGATACTTGCTTACTAGAGCGAGGATAAGAGAGGAGTGGCATTCCTTTGCGCGGCTTATATGGTACCTACCCGAGATTGAGCGAATATCGCAACGCCGCCCACATATGATCCCGCTCCCAATCTGTTGACAACGCCTCTTCCATGTTGTTGCATCGAGATCTTTTGGATGTTTACTCGCACTGTGAACCAGATTACGCCCCCAGCCTGTGAGTGGTTCTCCGCATACGATTACGTCACCGATTATCTGTTCGAGTAGCCACGGTGGATGGTGAAGTAGCTCGGGGAGCGACTGAAGGTGGCTGGTAGAAGGTGATGTTAGAAACGTTGCATGAATGCTCGCCGTGGTGGTTGAATCGGATGTTTTATAGGCGACCAATGCGGGTCGGAAACCTTCCAAGGTTCTCAGGTGTCGAGATTGCAATATGCTTCATTGTTTGCCATGTATAACATGGCGATACACACCCCTTGGGCTCGTAAAAGCAGTCCGAGAGTGAAAGAATGACTAATCGGTGACATACTTTGAGCAGGAACTGGAAAGCATCTTCACGGCAACAGCATGAACGACAACATAATCTCAGTCATTCAGTTAGCTTTTCCAACTAAGATCTTCAGGTACATTCGAAAGGCTTTGCTACCCAGAATCTGACAGTGTAGCAGTATGTGAGATGCAATGCTGGGCTCTTCGACCGCGTGGTCGTTGCATGAAACGGACGTCAGTCGACCAGGACCTCATCAGCGATAACGTCCACTTTCGAGACACCATCAGCAGCTCAAGGCCAACGGCTATATACCTAGGTAGGCTGTCGTGTGAGTAATAAGGAACTGAAGATAGCCTGGGTGCTAGCTGAGCGCAAGCCAGACCTCGGGAGCCCTGGGGCCGCCGGTGCACTGACCACCACCTGCTCACATCTCGAGCGCTGGGCGTCATCTCAGCTCACGTTCCTAATTTTATGCACTAGTATCTACGAATGGCCGTGACGAAAATTGTTGTCGTCTCGGTGCGACGCTTATTGGCATGCTATATCGAACAACAGCTCACCTATTCGATGCACCCATGGCTGCATGGGTATCCCGTGGCGCTAGGTGAACTCGAGGAAGGCTGAACCCCTACATTTAGGGTACACGTACGGATCGCGACTACCTCTGCATGCGATCACGTTGAATCGTGAACAAAACAATGGTACCCCTAGCGACGAAGCGATACGGTGGATACTTGATGGATCGCTATTGCGGTTAGAGAACCTACGACGGCTAGAAATTCGTCCGTACGCCATTATGGTACGTACCCCGCGGACTGCGCGCATTCTTTCATATCAGCCTTACCAACCAGGCCATCGGAAGGCATCGCATAGCCAGTCGAGATGCCTCGGCAAGATACCCTGCCAGCATTGCTTCCTTTTTGCGGGGAATATCCTCGTCGGACCGTCTTGCCAGTTACAGCCGAGATGACATTCCCGCTCCCATCTCACCGGGACACCGAACGACGTTTCAAAAAGTTTAATTCTACCTGTCAGACGTCAAAAATGTCTACAACTGTGTACATACAAAATCCGCGAGGTTCCCAGAGCCCCAGGCACGTGGATGAGTTCTAGCAGCTGTGCCACAGCTAGCCACGTATCGACCGTATCTCGCGCCAGGCCTCAGCGAGCGAATCAGTGACACCGCTAGTCGCCGAATGTTCCACCGCGATGACGCACTTATGTATTGCCTGGCGAAGCCACCGGCACGGCAGGCGAGCTTGACTCCGTTGACGATTACTACGCGGTGTACGTGGAGACGTTTGCGTTAGGCTGAGGCGGGACGTGTCTGCGGCTTATGCGTGATCGCGACAGCATTACGAGATGCTGGCCGGGCTGGACTAGGGCAAATGACAGGAGTATATATGGATGCTCTACCCGTGCCCGATGGATGGGCCTTCCTTGCACGTTTGTACGCGGCTGTATCTCCTCTACCGTCGTGAGTCCCGAGCAATTGGAATATACACCTGGGTAGCCCTCGTCGTTACTTCTCTATTCATACTTTCATCCCGTCCGCCGACATGTTGCAACTTGCTGCAGCAGCAGCCTTAATAGGTGCTGCATATGCACAGAACTCCTCATTACCTACAGTCGACCTGGGCTACGAGATTTACCAGGCTTCAGGGTTCAATGTTTGTATACCATCATCAAATCCTCGATGTCACTTTGTTGATTGACCCAATTAGGACACCGGCAACTTCTACAACTTTTCCAACATACGGTATGCTGCACCGCCTGTCGGTGACTTGAGGTTTGCTCCACCTCAGGCTCCAGCAGAAAACAGGTCATCTATCAACACCGGCGAGACTTCGAGGTAAGCGCCACAGGAAACCGAAGTTCAAACAATCATACTAACATCTACAGAATATGCCCTCAGGCAAATCCCGCTTGGTCTGCAGCCGCAGCACAGTCGTTGGCCAGATATGCGCTCGGTCTTCCTGCTTCGAACACAACTTATTCAGTGATGCCAGCAAATGCTACCAGTCCGGTCCCACAACCGGATCCCCGCGAGTCTGAAGATTGCTTATTTTTGGATGTTTTTGTTCCCGAGGATGTGCTTAGCAAAGCTGGGCAAGGCTACGGGGCTCCTGTTCTCGTATGGATCTACGGAGGTGGCTACACAGGAGGCGAGAAAAACAACAACCCTGCGGGTCTGCTCGCGGCCTCCGGCAACTCGTCCAATGGCGATGTTATCTACGTTGCGATGAATTATCGCCTTGGTGCTTTGGGCTGGACGGGTGGCCCTTCATACCAAGCAGAAGGAGGTGTATCCAACCTAGGCTTGTACGATCAGCGATTTGCGCTTGAGTGGGTCCAGGAGAATATTCATCTCTTTGGAGGTGATAAGAACCGAGTAAGTCAGAACTGGTCCATGCATGTATGATTTGTGCTGATTTGTGTCTACAGGTCACTGTATTTGGTGAGAGCGCTGGAGGTGGCTCGATCATGCATCAGATTACTGCATACGGTGGTGCTAATGGATCTGCTCCTTTTCAGCAAGCCGTACCCCAGAGCCCTGGATGGCAACCTACAACTTCTGTTGTCACTCAGGAAGATGTCTACCAGAGGTTCCTCACTCTTACCAATACCACTTCCCTCGCAGAGTTGCGGGCTCTTTCATCTGAAGAGGTAATGCTTGCGAATGCTCAGCAGATCACCTATGATTCCCCATACGGTACATTCACTTACGGGCCGGTCGTGGATGGTCTTTTCGCTCCTCTTCAGCCAGCTCAGCTTTTGGCACAAGGTCGATTTGACAAGGACGTGCGCGTAATGGTCGGCCACAATGCGAATGAAGGAGCCCTCTTCACGCCCTTCTTCATTCCAAACGAGGCTGCATTGGAAGACCAAATCTCGTCCGCATTCGCCAACGCCCCAAAGTCTTCCCTCGATTATGTTACCAAGACTCTCTACCCCCCGGTGTTCGACGGGTCTCTACCATACACCAACAACTTCGAGCGCGGTAGCCTCATTGTCAGCGAGGGAGTCTTCACGTGCAACACCAACTACCTCTCCAGGGCTTACGGAAACAAGACATACTCCTATCTCTTCGCAGTTCCCCCGGCTATTCATGGTCAGGATATCCCGTACACGTACTTTGAGGGCGGTGCAGGTTCCACCGGGCTCCAAGGTGTTGCCAACACCACCATTGCCATCGCTCTGCAGGAGTTCATCACCAGCTTCGCTGAGAATGGTGTGCCGGATGCTACAGGCGTGAAGCAGTTCAACATGTACGGTCCGGATGCGACCGTATTGGAGCTTAACGTTACCGGCATCGAGGATGTACGCGACAGCAACGCGAACGCTAGGTGTGCATGGTGGCAGAAGGCGCTGTACTAAGCCTGAGCTCATGCAGTACAATACCAATTAGTACGACAACAGTAATCGTAATGAATCAAGATCGCGCACAATAGCATAATGCACATGTAAAAATTTGTGATGCCCCGGCATGCGAATTCCGTAAACGCGACGTTCCTCGCGCATGCATGGCAACACGCGGACCCACATCCGCGATTGGCTGATCATAACTACGTCATAGCACAGCAGCTCAGTCCACGTCCACACATCCTTTAAAGCTGTCTTCCGCACACACTCAAAGGAACCTCATCTAACAACCCATCGAACAACTCAATTGCCACCTCTCTCCCCTCTACCAACAACTTCACCTCGAAACACCAACACAACACACAACACCATCAACATGTTCCGCCAACAGATCGCCCGCCAGGCCCGCCTCTTCAGCACCACACCCGTCGCGCGCAAGAGCCCCGTAGAAGCTATCAAGGACGCTGCCAAGGCTGTCGACAGGACAATCTCCGGTGCCGCTGTAAAGGGCATTGAGAAGGGAGGTACGTACATTACCCATCCCCTACACACCCTACCTGCATTACACTGCCTGATGCTCTCTGTTCTCAACAGCCGAGAATATGACGACATCGTACAGTGCGCACACCAGCTACGCTAGCACCATGAGAAAACAAACGCTAATACCTTTTGAACAGAGGAAGTCGCTGGCGCCGTTAAGGAAGCCACCCCCGACACCACCGGCGAGGCCAAGGGCCAGGCAAAGGAGATGGCCGGCGAGGCTAAGGGCAAGGCTCAAGAGCTTAAGGGCGAGGCCAAGGGCAAGACCCAAGAGCTCAAGGGCGAGGCTAAGAGCAAGATGTAAAGACGTCGACGGACATCAGGGACGACACATAATGACTTCGAGGAGGCATGCTTCGTTGCTATAGCTGCACCGAGTAAGAAGACGCCTAATCGTCACGGCAGAATGAATGAAATAATGTTTCAATGAGGACAATGTGGCTCTCATGGATGGTGATACGTATGTTTGTTCAGTTGAGGTTACGTTGCTGACGCTGCTGGGTGAAGGACTGTCCTCGCCAACGTTGGTCTCGATACCTGTACCGCGCTTCACTATTCCGCTGCCTTCCTCATCTTTCGGCTCGATTGCTTTTCGATAACGACTCTCGTCTACACACAACATGCCACGGCCCATGTACCACCGCCTTGACAACCTCAGCGCATATCCAAGATACAACTCCTAGCAAGACGTTATACAACACTGGGTGCTCATCTTCGGCACGAGGTTAGCAATGTGGTGCATTGGAGGCAAAGCTCGCCCGTTGAGCTCTTGGAGACACGGGAGATATCGAAATCATTGCGCAGTATTCTGGAGGCTCATTCGATTTGTATCACAATACATCATGATCGCCGATGTCAGATATTCATCACGTCAATTGGAGGCGAAGTACGTCTAAAGAAACACATGTTGTATTGAACTATGGCCCAAGATCTTGCAGCCATGATGATTAAATACCCAGCCCAGACATCATTGACACAGCGGGAGGGTGGGGAGGGAGAGAAGTGAAGAGAATTAACAACAAGGAAAAGGTATGTCTACACCAGTAAAGGACAGTAGAGAATGTGAATGTGGTTTGTTTGGTAAAGACGCAATGACATGTCGTAGCTTCACCAATCGGCCTCACAACGGGCTTACATCGCCTAACCGCGTGAGTGTCGTGCAGTATAGATTACATGAACCACATGCCCATCTACCAAGACAGTTAGTACTCATCCTTTTGAACATCAGGCAGCAGTGGAAAACTCACCATGCCTCTCTTCACTTTGTCATTCTGAGCCTCGTATGTCACCTCAGGTGGCATCGCGTACCCACTCTTGGTGGAGCTGGCACTCGTCTCAAAGGTCGTGAGTGTGAGACTGCCCGTCGCGCTGGTGAGGTAGGTACTAGAATCTACAGGCCAGGAGGAAGCGGTAGCATCCGTGTTGGTGACCGAGCTGACCGGAGGGGTCCAGTAGGAATAACCCGACGTGGAGCTGCTGGGGTAAGCGGTCGAGGACTCGACCGGGAAGGAAGTAGCGGTGGCGTCGGTGTAGGTTGAGCTTAGAGAACTCTCGGAGGCTGAGAGTATAGAGGAAGTCTCGACCTCAGAGCTGGACTCGCTGCTGGAAGATGCTGAGGCGGTGGAGGAAGAGGGGAAGGTGGTGTATTCCGTTTCGCTGTACATGGACGAGCTAGATACTTCGGGGGTCTCAGAGCTGGTCGAGCTAACAGACGTGACAGGAGAGTCGGAAGAGGATGTGTCAGAAGGTGTTACTGTCGGGACGGGCGTCTCAATAGTGCCAGAATCACTGGTCAACGACTCCGATGGCGTCTCGGAAGGCAAGACGAAGCTGCTAGTGCCTGAAGTTACCGACTCAGTGTACGAAACAAGCTCAGAGTCCGTAGATGATTCGCTGATTGAGGATGACCAGTACGAATAGCTCTCCGTGGTTGGCGCGGGCGTAGGCAAAGTTATGACTCCAGACGACGTGGGTGTGGAAGAGTCTGAGGTCGTCTCGATCGAGCTGAACGAAATGCTGAACGAGTACGGCAACGAGGATGTTGCAGAATCAGTCTCTGAAGCACTAGGCACACTGCTGGTGTCATATGTAGAAGATGCCGTGTACGATGGTGTATATGAGGCCAACGAAGAAGAATCTGAAGAGGTTCCAGTTTCAGTAGCTGATGACGACTCTTCGGAACTAGTGGGTGTATATGAGGAGCCGTCCGTGGACGAGGATCTGGACATGGTGAGTGTTCTAGACCAGGTACGTGTGGAAGAACGACTCCGGGAGACTCTGGATTTCCTAGACCACGTTGAAGTCGAGGTTGAAGATGACGTGTAATAATCAGTGGTTGGCGTCGGAGTCTCCGACTGGCTATAAGAAACTTCGGAAGTATAGGTGATCCAGGAGATTGTGGAGATGTCGATCGACGATGAAGACACAGTATCGGTTTCAGAGGGACTGCCGCTGCTGGTGGCGTTACCAGGTGGACCGTAGTAGCCCGACGACGACGGAGTCTGAGAAATAGTTCCGTTTCCACTGGATGTTGCCGTGGGCCCAGTGTTCGTCTCCGTGATAGTACCATTGGAAGGGTATGGAACGGATGTGGTAATGGCAATGGTGGAGGTGATGACGGACGTAATGACAGTCACATTGGTACTCGGGCTTTCTGTAGTTGTCGACGGGCGTGGAATGTATGAGCTTCTGGGTCCAGTGGAGTTGCTACTGGCAGTGGAGGTCAAAGATGGCATTGAAGATCCTGGCGCGGTACCCGTACCCCAAGTAGATGAAGCTGTACCAGTACTGTTGCCATAAGGTGCGGAAGACTCATGTGGCGGCAAAGATGGGTAGTATCCTGTTCCGGATGACTGAGGTCCAGTCGAAAGAGGGATGCTCATGGAAGAAGAGCTGCTGCCCCAGCTGCTCGCTGTAGCTTCGGTCGACGTATCTCCAGAGAAAGTTTCACTGAGCAATGGATTAGTTAAGCGAGCAATTATATTCAGGACTGATCACAACTCACGATGTCGAGGGAACAATAACCGACGTGATAACAACGACACTAGTGTAGACGACTGTAGAGGGACCTGGCGATGTAGAGTTTGCAGTTGACGAAGACGTTGGAACTGGAGGCGTCCAAGTAGACAGCGAGACGCCGGTGCCGCTGGAGAAGGTGGACGACGCACTTCCGCCGGTGCTGCTTAAACTTGGGTAAGGAGGAGAGTATGGTGGTGGTGGTGCATACTGCCGAGGCCGTACATGCTGTGGGAAGTTCACTAATTCAGAATATTAACTCACGTGCTTAGATTTCAGAGAGCGTGACGATTGGTACGTTGACGGAAGAAGTGTGTACATCCAACAGCAGATACGATGGGGAGACTTACATGGCATCCGCTCAGCTGCAGTGAGCGATAGGAAAGCCGCGAACGGAGTGAAGGTACTGAGCTTCATGGTTGTTATGTGAGTCGCAAGACACACCTGTTCCAAGAGATGAAGAAAGAAACGAGTGTTGAGGGGAAGTAATGAGAGGATGTGTCGAACAGACAACTACAGCTGGACGGCTTGAGCCTCGATTGACTGGAGACAATGACCTTATATGTGATGATCTACGTTCCACCGCGACAATATCATGACACGATACTGCTACAGCCGTACGGCCGCAGTGAAATACTCGGTTAGCTCCACTATGGGCATGCAGCACGGCATCATGCTTGTATCGATGGTATCCGATTCTTTGAATGATGACAACGTCTACGATGAAGACGGCTAGTTTGAAAATCATGACTTCTATGCGCTTGATGCTGAACGTGTTGGGCTCCGTCTCTTGACTGCGAGAGTTTGGAGTAGCGGCTGCCTCTGAGAAAGGCATGCACCGCTTCGATAGGCCATAATGGCTTCAGTCGATGCATAGCAGCCCGCATACGAGGTAGCTGGTGTATGCATTTAAATTGCCAGTGCAACAATCCGCTAATATCTTGAGTCTAACCCAAGAAAGGAATCACGGGAGGGTAAACGACGGACGGATAGCAACATGACACTGCAGCGCAGCGATCACCGCTGGTAGTACAGAAGGCGAAGGAAGAAATTCGCGAATGACGAAGTGACCCAGCGCACTGTTGTTGAGACTGAATGAATTGATACAGTCACTTCTCTAGGCATGGTGTTGTTGCGAGCCAATGGACTCGAGTAACTCGACACTGAAGAAGCGTACCCAGTGTCGCAACGCTCGACCGACCTCGTATTCCCAGGCATCCAATAGGTAATACAAAGGTTTGCAGTGCCACACCGCCTTAGTAATTCCTTATGATGTCGTTTGCCAATCATAAGGTTGCGTGCACTTTTGGAGGGATGCATGACCTCCGGGGCTATGTGCGGTCGGCAACATGTCTGAACAATCGGTCTTTAGCCATCTTCATCTGGCTCGATGCATGAGCCATATGCGAATCCTACTGTCTCTCCAAAATGTCGGACGCGATCGGACTGCGATACCGGCCTCGATTCTGGGCACAGTCCCTGACGTTTTTGGGTCCAGCCAGCCGCATGTACCAGGGTACAATACAAGAGCCTGCTCGGGGAACGCGACAAATGGACCATGGATGACTCGACATCAGGGATCGGACTATGTTATTCGTATGGCCGGCAGATGGAGGGTTCTATCACTAGCTAGATGCACAGATGCAGGAACCAGACTCACGCTCAGGGTGCTGCGTTTCACAAGCAACCGCAGTAGGACGACGCGACTGATGCAGAAAGCCGTTAGAACGTCCCGACGGCACAGGGATCTCGATGCAGAGGAAACAGGAACCGAACATAGACAGCGGTGCAGACCAGCTAGGCTGGGTATGCCGTGGAAGCGGTATGGATCTGTTGGAAGATCGGAGGACGGCAGTGTCCATTGGTACTGTTCACGACGCTAGCGCGGCTGCAGTAGCATCACGTGAGCCAGCCCAGCAGGGCCACCTCCATCATCCACGGATGAGTTTGATAAGTCTAGACGCACCCATGTGAACTCATCGCTCACAAGAAGGTGATTTGTTACGTAGCAGAAGAGGTGCGCGCAACCGCACTCCGGAACTAGTGCATGCTACGCTCCCTACGACGGGCCCAGCCGCTTACTACCGAGTAGGAAGTACAAGTTGGAAGGCCTAACCCTCCCTGGTTGTGTATCATCCCCAGTTCGGGGTACTGAACCCTGAAGACCTGATCAAGCAACGGTCCGCGAGCCAGGACACCATTGGGCTCTCGTAATAGCAGTTTGGGCCGCGAGTGGCAGCATAGATGTTGTGATAAGCATCACTTGCACATGAGGTTACCGGAGATCGGAAGGACTATTGCATACGGAAAATGACCGTTACAATTATATATTATACAGGAACACTTCAAATCGAAGGATTACTGGGAGAGGAGATCGCTATGTGGGCAACAACACCCTCAAGCGCCTGAAGAAGGATGGTTGTTGCATCCTATGTGTGGGTCTTCTCTTCACCGACAGGAAGACTCCTTGCAACGCCTTCAGTCGTAACCTCGTAAACGACACTGTACAAAAGGTATCATGTGCGTGTGAAACCAGAACCGTTACCCAAAGACGTAGCAAAGTATCGAAGAGCTTAGACGGACAGGATCCTAGAAGGATCGTACAAAGGACCTTGGTCCACAAAGACAAAAAAACAAGATAAAAATGGCGAAAATGATACCTAATCCCAGTTGACGAGGCTGTTACCATTGTCGTGGTCATTGGCGGATTGGTCGTCAAACGACTGTTGGAAATCGCCGCCAGGGAAATCGAAAAAGGCACTGTATTCACCAGTACCAGGCGTCAAAAACGAATCGTTGGAATAAAAGCCATCAGAAATAGCACTGGGTACCGACGGCGACGTGGTACCAGAAACAGGCTCAGTCTTCAAGTTTAGACCAGATGACAATGTTTGAGCCGAGCCACTAGCATGCTCAGACATGCTACTGGCGTTAGCTGTCCGACCAACCTTGTTGGGGTTGTAGGTGTAGGTCGGAGCAAAAGGCTGAGGAAGGTTATCGCTGCCTGCCATGAAGACTGCAGTGCGTGGGTCGTTCTGATCCAGGACAGATCCAAGGAACTGCTGAGACTCGGGTGGCATAGACAGAGTCAAAGGATTGGTGTTGAGCGCCTGCGAGCTGTATGGGTAGTTCGTAGGGCTGTAAGAATAGGAGGAAGGCGAATTAGGATCACTCTGCACAGGTGCGGCCTCATGCACGGAAGCTGCGTTGGGCGAAGCGCTCTGTGGCGAAGATGACTGACGGTGCTGGAGCGAATGGGTAGTAGGCGAACGCGATAACGAAGGACGCGTTTGTCGCTCTACTGTCTGGTTTTGCTGTTGAAAAGCTTGCGGCGGTAAAGACAGTCTTCGGTTGAGCTCAGTCTGTGGCGTCGTGAGACCTGCACTCGCCGGCTGAGCTGATGGGTCAAAGTGCGATGCGCCCTGGGGCAGTTGAATAGAAAGAGCGCGCTGGTGAGAGTGAGTGCGTTGAGGAATCTGGTAAGGTGACTGTCTGTATCCCTGTTGCGGCTGAGCGGTGGTCGGGCTGAAGGATTGCGCTTGCTGGAAACCCTGTGGAGACGCGGGGGCGAACTGCTGAGGCGGGAGCATTGACGGGTTCAGCCAGTTGTTCGGCTGTGCAAATTGAGCGCCATTGGCCGGATACTGCGGACCATACTGCTGGAACGCCGCGCCTTGGTTCTGGTACTGGGACATGAACATGTTCCTGACGCCATGCTGGGTCGCAATGTAGTCATGGAGCTTCTTGTTGAACATGACCGAAGTGGTTTGAAGATGAGCGTTTAGGCGCTGGTACTGGGTAGGCAGATCATCATCCTCCTCTTCGTACATCTCCTCATTGATAACATCCTGCTCGGTCACGCGAAGAGCACGGCCCGTGCGCTTCTTGTGAATCTCAGAAGCTCTACGAGCAGATTCAATGCGAGCCTCCAGGCTGCGGTCACTGCGGCGCGAGGCAGCAATGTAGGCACTGTTGGGCATCAGAATTGGTTGCGTGCGGAGTAAGAAGAGACGACTAACCGCTCCTGGTTCTCTTCATGAGTGCGCTCGGTCTTGACCGGTCTGGCCGAGGTGAAGGTTCGACGTTCGGCAGGCATGGCGAGGTCCAAGCAACAGATGGGAGTCAACGTGCGGTGTGGCGAAGTGTGTGTGTGGGCGAGGGTGGGGTAGCTGACAGATAGCGATGTCAGCACAACAACGGAAGGCTGATTGGTACAGTTCGAGGGGTACGTCTAGCAACGACTTCGACTGTGAAGAATAATGGAAGAAGGAGAAAGTGCGAGGAGCGGGCGGGCAAAGTATGTAAACGGAGAGGGGAAAAGTGGCGACTGTCCACGCGGGTGCGGATGTGCTGGGCGGAGCAGGCCTAAAGATGGGCCGAAAAACAACGGAGCTAGAAAGACGCTCACGTACCGCGACGACAGGGTTCGGACAGCACCCAGCTAGATTCAGATACGCGACAAGTGACGTGAGGCACAGAAGCAACGGCCAAAGTTGGCCGCGTGTCCCAAAGCGGCAGAAGATGGGAGTGCAAGTGGGAACTGGCGCTGGGGGTGGCAGCGATCGAGGGCTGAGGGGCGTGTGAGTGGCTGCAATGCGCACAAATCTCTGTTGCGGGCCGGGGGAGGGCAGGCCAGGATGCTCAAGTGGCGGAGCCTAGCGGACGAAGACTGGGTATTTCGATGCTGGTAAACCGTTTGTGCATCGACGCTTGCACACGAGATCGATCGTCGCGACGTGGCTTGGGGGGGTGAAGCAGCAGGCAGCGGATTGGGAGCAGGACGGGTGCGTTACGTCGAGGGCTTGCCTAGCATATGTTATAGCCACAAGGGAAGAAGCAATTGCGGTCTTCTGGAATTTGACCACACAATTAACCACAGGCAGCGGCAGGGTAGCACGCCAGAAGCCAGCAGTTCCCAGCAGTCCCCGCAGCGCCTGCGAGCGACATGCAGCCAATGGCACCACTGGGCCGCAGCGGCAGCATGTCCGGCGTGCTCTGACGGCCAGTCGGCGACGTGTGTGGAGTAGGGGAGAAGGTTCGGCTTAGCTCTGTGCCAGGCTCAATAGCTGCATATTACCCTCGGCACCCGCAAGCCAGCCCAGCATCAGGACAACACCACGCCCGCGGCTTGGCCAACTGGCGATCGAGGGCGCTAGCATCTCTGTGGCACTTCCCGCCGATAAACGAGACGCGTGTGTGTGGTCGACGACGGGGAAGAGCCCACCTGCATCGCATCAACATCATACCACAGCTGTGCCAGTTTCTAGCTGCCCCGGATTAGGCCTCGTTGTCGCTGGGCTGACTAACGTGGTCGTTCTGGCTCAATGGCTCTTACGTTGGCGACGTTTACAGCGTACCTGACTACTGCTGCCAATTCCCAATTACTAACAGCCTGCTATTTTGGCTGAACCGGGGACGCTCAGCCAGACGTGCGCCGGCTATTGTGCGTAAATCAATCGCGATCGCGGCAGCGCAGCGGCTTCCGCATACTGCTCAACCAAACGCGAACGCACATGCTCTCGTTAGGTGGTCGGCGCTATGGAGACGCAGCCGTCGGGCTACCGTTGGCTTGTTCCCGTCTCCTGCCCAGACGGTGCTGGAGCGAGCCTAACCCTGCGCTTACACTCGAACGGAAAACTTCGCGACGAATAACCGTCAACTACCCAACGCCATGGCTACCCCCCCAAACAACAAGACTGAGCTTCACACAGCCCTATCTCCCGCCATGCGACAAGGTCAAAACCGCTGGTTTCACAGTGCTGCACACATCTCATGGCAGCCGATCGCTTGAGCTCAGGAACAAGGAAGCCCTGTTCAAGCAAAGAAAACCTGAGATACGCGAAGGCCATATCGGGAATAGCTCCGATCTGATCGCATCTCCCACGCAAACTCGGAGCCCTGAAGCGCCCTGAGGGCTTCGCTGGCCGCGTCCAGGACGTGCGCGCCGATCTCTCGATACAAACATGTCGCCGACTCGCTGGGCCACGACTTATCCCTCTGCTGACATCTCCTTACTACGGCTTTTGTACCAGCGGGAAGCCATGCGCCAGAGGAAGGGACGGTGCTCTGTCAATACCACGGCCAGTGCAGCTCCATCGTTGTCCAGAGGTCGATGCCACTATTGGCAACATGGGAAATTGACCCTTATTGTTTGTGTTTCGAGTATTTGTCACTATGGCATTGTCCTAAGCTCCGGCCGTCCGCCGACGTCACACGGCATTGGTTCTTCCTTCTATCGCTCCTGCCCCGCCGCAAGTGCCCACTGCCAGATCGCCGGGGCCTCTAGTGCCGGCCTGTCAAAGTATCAGCCAGTCAAAGCCCGATGATCCCTGCGTCCTTGCTAGGCTTCAGATTCAGATCTGAGATGAAATATCTCCGTCTGCCGTGCATCCACACGGCTTTCCGTGCAACAAGGGAGCCAACAGGCAGGCCGAAAAGCGTACAGCGGCCACATTCAGGTGCATGAGGTCTGCTTCCCTTCCAGCTGAGCTCCGCGCGCTCTGAGCCCAATGGTGTTTGACATCATTGGAATTCACGACGTGTACTGCAGGGCTGTGGGTTGACCATGGTAATGGTACCCCGCTACGTGTGCTCACATCACACGGTTGACCAACTCCTTTTCTGACCAGTCCAGGTGCACCTTATCCTTTGAGGAGCAACCCAATACTTTGAGATCGCTGTGAAGTGTGTCGGGCTCCACATTGCTACACCTACCCGTAGTACAACGCTGCGCGTCAAACTCAGGTCACAGTGACGTTGCGTACATTCCGCTCTATGCCTACCCATAACTACATGGATAGGAATCCTGAGTGGGTGCACACGGCTTGAGATCAGCGCGTACCTAGCTGCATGATCTTGCATCCGAGCCGGCTACGGTATCCTTTGCAGTATCCTGAACACGCTTCGTCTCACAGCGGCGCTGTGTTCCCGCAAGTCAGTAGCTTACTGACTACTCAAACTTCCGCAGCCTCTTCAACTATCCTGCATGCCTTCCATTGACATCATTGGGCAAGGCGAGTTGAACCGAACATGGTGTTCGATGTCCCACCCCACTCCAATGCGGCAAGTGGAGCGCATACGTCGTCCGACAGCCCCATGTCAGATTGCCCTTCAATCTCCTTGCCTGTTTGCCGTTTGGCAGCTCTATCGTCATTTACCAAGTCTACATGAAACGCAGACGCCACCGCATGTACCAAGGTGGCCCTAAGACTGAGTACTTCTAGTTCCAGAACGTTCAACTTCATTCCACAGAGAAGCAATTCGGGTGTTTCGCATGCGCGCTGTAGCCGTGGCGCGCACGCCAATCTGCCCCGGCTCACAATGCTGCCTGGTGTCATGAACCAGGCAATCTTTCTATCCTCAATTTGGAAGGTCTGAGCGATTCAACCCCAGGAGTACAAATATGACTACCAAATTACACAACACCTGGGTATGGAGCTTCTGTATGACGCCCCGCGGGCCCTAATGCACGGTCGCCGGTTGAACTCGCTTGCATGCATGTCTCGGCGATACTCCGCCAGACCAATCAGATGTCCTCGTTCCCAAACCCCCTCCTCAAAGCGCTCGTTCCTTCTTGTCCGTATCCTACACGGTGCTGGGGTTCTACTTGAGGTCAAGTTGACGCGGGTGCGCTCGATCTGCTGCATTAGCTTGCCATGTATACGGTGGGCTGGCGTGTAGCAAGCCTCTTCGAAACAACTGGCTGATAGCACATCGGAGAGAACCCTCTCGAGATCTTCGGTTCAAAATCAGAAAATGCGCAATAGATCCATCCAGGCCCATCACACCCGCATTTCATACCGATACCAACGACCGCTGTCCTGCGAGCGCCTGAACCGTCGTTCAAGCGCGGGTTCGCAACGTCGCGAGATATTCTCTGGCGTGGAGCTCGCGGTCAATTTCATGTTAAGATCGGCAGCACAGCCCCAATTTCGGGGTTAAGCATGCTGCATCTCCATTTCATCAGCAGCTGCCTCTGGGCCTTCTAGGAATGCGTTCGCTTGCACGAGCGGTCTGCACTGCGCTGTGCGTTATGTGAGCAGTGGCTAGCTAAAGGCAGATGCGGTGAGGAGTGTTCAACGTTGCACACCCACTTTATCTCGATCCATGTTTTGTGTGGCTCGGATTGCGGTATTCTTTAATAGACCATTTCAAACCGTTCCAATGTTGTTTTCTGTCGCAATACTCTCGTCCCGCACATTGCCGCTGTCTGCAGTGCCATCCCTTCTGGCAGCAATGCAAGGGCACCATATGCAGGTGAGCAGACTGCTCCAGGCGTGCGGATAATTTGGGTAAATAGCGTCAGGCTTAAAAGGGTCCAGCGGAACATTGCTTCTTACCTACTCTGAGCAGCACCGCATACATAGGCGAGTGTAAACATCTGGGCCTTACAGCTCACTACACGCTACGACACCGCCCGTCCAAGCTACTAACCTCGCTTCCTACGAAGCCAATGACCATTGCGAATATTCTCAAAGCACAGCATAAGCAAGTAAGCAGCATCGTATGCACCTCGTATCAGGCCGCGCAGTAAGCTCGGATTCCGACGTCCGACGTAACAGCAACAACGTGGCGACAGTTTGCTCTCTGGCGTTCTACTCCTACGCCCGCAGGATAGGATGCAGGATGGAAAAGACGGCACGCATCTGGATTTCACAAGAAGCTGGGTAATGCCCGAACAGGGCTACACGAGGTGCAGCCACGTTTAGCGTTGGCCCATCATATCGAAGCGGAGGAAACTTACTGTGTAGGCACTGCTAGCATCGGCCGTCTTCCGTAGAGATCCAGTCGAACCACGGCTCTGTACGTTTGCGACTGCATTGAGTTTCCAGGAACATCCAATAGGCAGAAAACATCGGCCATTTCTCCGCTCATGGGAATGTAATCCAGCATGCGGCACAGCGATAAAGTTGCAGCAGCCTCGCGACAATAACTGCCACTCGGAGGTCACTCTTGCGCGACGAGTGGCGACGGAGTACGGATCCCCACGCGTCTTTGTCCAACGTGGCCAGCTAGCTGGATTCTTCTCCTGTTTACAGCAAATCCATCTTCCAAAGAGCACTCGACCAAATGTCTTGATGCCCGGATGTGGATGGAAGGATGGAAACTAGGTTGATCGTAATGAAACCTAGTCCATTCCATTCCGCAACAATCGCGTCCCATGTTACAAGACAGTCAAGTTCGAACGAAGCTTGAATTCGTTACCACAGTCACAAACTCCTGCGCGCAAGGTAAGATCGGAAAAGTAGGAACTCACATTGGGCTTGCCCTCTTCTACTCTTGATGCTTGTATTGCTTTCGAACGTCGCCGCTTGTTTCCATTGTCGCCTATTTGGTCTTCCAATCATCATTTCTCTCCTCTTTTCAATGATCTTGTTGTCAGGAAGTCACGCGCGTTACCTGTGGCATCAGACAACATCGCAGGTGAAGGCATTCGATCATTGATCGAGTATCATACCCAAGCGCAGCGCACACCATCAGCAGCGTTCATGTCGAGTCGGAAGTCAGCTTTCAATGTGATATTCGGGGTCGCTGCCAATCCGCATCCAGACTGAAGTTGGGAAGTTGACGGGGAGGTACTTTCCAGATTCTCGAGTTCACATCCACCAGCATGCGGATGATATGTGTAACTAATTGGATCCAAGTTTACGTCTGCAAACCTCTACTTGTTATCTGTTTCCTGTATGTTTCCCTTCAATATATCTTCGAAGAGATTTCGTTAGTACCTTACACCTAAGTATCGTTCTTGACCTCGCGCATACTTTCAAGTCCCAATGTGCGCGAACTGTTCCTCTCTTTGCGATGCGAACCGCAACAAACGTCGTCCGGGTTACCAATCGCAACCTCTGCTGGGCCGTCGCTGCCGTCTCAAAGAGGAAAGAGCAAACAAACTCCAGCCTGGGACCTCACTGTCGGCCACCTGCCTACGTCACCATCCTGTGCTTGTCCATAGTCACATTTCTAGCATCTGTCCGTCGTACATGATCAAAATCGCTGAGAAGGCTAGTCGCATTTGCGCCACGGCACCCATGGTCTGTATGGGCGAGGTGGTGCCACGAAGGTGCCTTCCTGGGCACGCGCAGAGCACAACAACGACGCACGCTCTCGCCCCACAATCGCGCCTTCACCTTCACTTTTGCTCCTGCCAATCCGTCCTCTGCTTGTCGCCTGCCGCCGGAGCTAATTTCCGCCGTGCCTGCAAACGCTGCTCGCACGTCATATAAACAACTTTTCTGTGTCCACCTCCGTGTCTTCTGCTTCTCTCACGACACTCACCCCAAAGCTCCATCATCTCTGCAGCTGCATCAATCCAACACGAACATACTTCACTTCATCCCCACCACCAATCAGATTACCGCTATCAACATGTTCGGCTACAAGATCTTCGCTGTCGCTGCGCTTGCGCTGGCTGTCGTCGCCACTGACCGTGAGTACATGCTTCAGGCTTAGCTGCAAAGCTGCTTGCATACCTCTACATGGCATCGGGCACACGATCTAACATCTCTTGCAGCTGTCTGCGCTCCCGCTGCCACCGTGACTGTTACTGTCACCCAGTGCGTCCCCGAGCCCGGCAAGCCGTCGTCTGAGCCAGTCCCCGCTCTGTCAGATGTCTCCTCTACCCCCGCTATGTCGGCTGTCTCCTCGACTCCCGCTTTGTCGGCTGTATCCTCTACTCAAGACGGCGGAGCGCCTGTACCTACCACTACTAGCGTTATCCTGCCTCCCCCAGGACGACCAGTTCCCACCACCAACGTCCCCGATGACGAGCCTTCCAGTGCTACTACTACGACTGACGGGGGTCCCTCATCCTCAGGTCGCCCTGGTGAGCCCACAACCACTGCCGTCGAAACTGCTGGCGCCGCTCTCGCAACGCCTGTCGTCGGTATGGGCTCGCTCGTCGCCATGGGTGCTGCAGCCCTGGCTATCATGGCCTAGGCCCGTTCACACAAGGTCCACGTGCTATATTGAGCAGGGGTGTCGCGCTACACGTCGCGTTCTCAGTCGAAGTCGTTAGTGCAAGGCCTAGTATCCATGGGGCTCTCTCTTATTGTCTTGATCATTCTCTCAAGACCCAGATACCCCCATTCATGATTTGGTATTAATGTATTGGCGGCTTATCATCGGCATGGGGTGTCATCACTCGTCGAAAAGCTGCCCCATGGTATTGCATGTTCATAGCCTTCCACGAGTCTAATAAAAATACTGACATCGTCATTACTCTTGCTTCCGTACCATGCTTGCTTTGATGACCATGCCGTGTGAAGTGGCTCTCACACCGCGCTTGGCTTCCACTCCTCGAGCTACCACGGATGACTGAGTTGATACCTTGTTGCTCGAGAGTCAATGAAGCCCTCCAGTGCTTGCCTATCAGAGTGCCCCTCGTTGTTGATTTCGGGCACTGAGAAGGGCAGTGATGAATATCCTACCGAGGACGGACAGTACGTTCATGTGGATCGTTAATACTGGCTAGAATGAAGGCATGATGAGACTGAGTACGGTTCTGATGGAGTGCACATGAATATCAACAGAAAGACATATCAAGGGCGGGGAAAGCGAAAACAGGGAACAAGCATAAATATACTCTGAGATATCTTCTAATGATAGTAAGAATCCCTCAATTAGAGAACGCATCATGCTAATATATATCGCTCGTTCCTCCCACTGGATGACCACTCAAACGAAGTACTATCCCGTTTGTTTATACTTCGTCCTCAACTCATCGATCTCGCGTTGGAACTTTTCCATATCGTCGAGGATGTTACTCGAATCGCTCCTTCCCTCGCCCTCCTTCCCACCAGCCATATTTTCATCGAGACCTAGCTTCTTCTCGCTCTCTTCCATTGGCGAGTATAAAGCATATTCGTTCCCACCTTTCTCGTCTGCAGGCGCGTATTCCCTCCTCAATGAGCTTTCGCTGGCTACGCTCGTCCGTCTGTGCTCTGTGCTTGTACGGCGGTACTCCGTGCTCGTCCGTCGGCTTTCTGTGGGGGACGAAGAGGGTATCTGAGGTCTTTGCTGATCAAGGCTTGAGCGATTTGATCGGCGTCTTGGTGGAGGCGGAGGTGGCGGCATGTTGCTTCCAGTGCTTTCTCCAGATACATTTCGCTGGGTATTGCGATTGGACGATATGGATGAGGCGCGGTGCACACTCGGCGCGGGTGACGAAGGTTGGGATTCTAGAGTGCTCCGGCGGGATGAAGGGGGTTCTGGAACAGATCTCGGCGTTCGACCCGAACTTGAACGCTGTGGCAGTTCGGTGCTAGAAGAGTTCGCGCTTGAGTTGCCTATGTTTGCGAGTCGTGCGCCGTGTCGTGAAGGTGGAGGACGTGGTGGTGACTTTGCTCCAAACGGGTCGACGTTACTTGGAACTGGGCTTTGTATGGGGTCAACCGAGTGCTGAGATGATATCGTAAGGTTTGAACTGCTCCGCGATCTATTGCCTGTTGTCGTCGTCGTCTTGAGCTGACTCTGCCTACGGGCCAATGGCACGGGCGGAGGTGCCTTCTTTTGTCTATTTGTGCCTTCCGAAGGCGGTGAAGGCAGGTCTTGTGCTGGTGGGGTTGGTTGGGATTGTAGCGGGGTGGTATCTTGCGTGCTGATATGGGATGACTGCGGCGCAGCAACGGGAGTTGGGGGGAGCGGCTTGTTTGTATCCGAACTGTCTGTCCGTCTGATAGCCGGCGGTGGTGTTGGCTCTGTGGCTGCAAAGCTCTCGAAGGACACTGTCTGTGGCTGTCTCTGCGTAACGAGCTTTCCGTGTCGATGCTTGGGGGCAGGTGGGGGCTTCTTTTTGCCCTTCTTCACCTCGGAGACTAGCCCCATGCTCTCGTCCTCTTCCGAGTCAGCCATATCGACCGATGTACGTGGCGAGTCAGCGTGGGATTCTTGTATGGGCTCGAATAGCGATTGCCGGGAGACTGAGGAGGTATCCGTGCTACTACTGGTCTCGAATTGCGCGCCTGCGACGGGTTGTGATGCGCTCGTAGACTGCTGAGGCGGACCGGATGGTCGCGGAGTAGCCTTTCCGGTCAGGAGTAGGTTCTTGAAGCTCTCCACATCCAAGGAAGCTCTGCTGTTGCCTAGCATCGGTCTTCCCGTGTTCGTCCGCTCCTCCTCGCTCTCTTTGTCTTGGGGTTCTAACGAGGCCAGTGTTCTCGAGAATGGATTCGCTGGTACGTTACCCGGCGATTGCATCGCCAGCGGCTCGCCAAAGGTTGATCTCGGGTTTGGGGACGCGTCCGCTATTGCCATGGCGTCTTTCCCGACAACTTGGGCATTGGCTTCGCCCGCTGTGACAGAGTTGTTGACAAAGCCGGCGGGTGTTACGGGAGGCGGTGGGCTTGCAGGCCGACCTTGGCTCGATCGCCGGGCCATAAGCTCGTTCAAGGTCGCATCTGAGTCGTCAAAGATGGGCGGTGGAATCGTAGTAGTGGGCGAGAGAATGCGGACAGACTTCTTGGTCTTGCCAGTCGAGGGCGGGGCGGCATCTTCGAGCACTGTAAGACAATTACTCCTTGAATGCCAGCAGACGCAGAAAGGCAAGGCGAGGGAATACCATGGTCGCTGTCCTCCCTGCGCGCTTCAAGCACACTGCTATCCGTGTTGATGAAGGAAGTCTGCGGGACGGGCGCGGGCTGACGGGGAGCTTGAGAAAGGCGGAAGGGGTTTCCGGACGACATGGTGGGTGCTAAAAACAATGCATTATTCTATGTACATGGAAGGGGCGCGAGAGAAGCGGTGAGATGGTGCCGCGCAAGAAATGCTGTTGCTGATAGTCGGCTCTGCGACGTGATCATCGCCGATATGCAGGTGCTGGCGATCCGGCGCGGGACAGCGAACAGCCCCCACCATCGTACCTCGTACACCATGACGGCCCAATGAACCTCTGCTATCCATAAGGCACAATTTCGCCAACGAATTCTGTGGCCCTCTGTGTTCTAGAGCTCACGTTGCAATATTCGCTTTCTGCTGCAGGATTTGGACACTTCTTTACACTGTTTAGTAAACGCGTGGGCATCTTGCAGCGGCCTACCGCGGCTATCTATGTAAGGGTCTATCTCCACGGTACGCTAATCGACATACACATGCCACCCTGCCTGGCAGTCAAACCACTTGCGCGCCAAGTTCCCTCCACTCTCTGTCGGTTGGCTGAAAGCAACTCGAGCTTTCTCAATGTGCAGCCCATAGATGAAGTCGGATCGTGCAATATCCAACAGCCTAGTCGCAACGCCTTTCTTTCTATGTTGATTTGACGTCCATATACGCGATATGCCCAAGGCCACCGGATCTGAATCGGTGCTGATAGAAATAGAAGAGCTATGGGGCGCGACAGCATCTCCGTGCTCCTGGTCGGGCGAACTGGTGGGGTCCAACACCTTATAGGCTTCCCAGATTCGCTCTGCCAAACATGCTCCTACACACTTGTTCCCTCGAATGTATAAATATATCTTGAATCGATCGACGAGTGCCACGTTGGCTGGGTTCTTCGCCGAGGGCCGTGGTTTCGGTACCGGCGTAGTCCGTTCTGTTTCGTCTGCCTGGACTGTCCGACTCGTCTGTCCCCAAAGCTCCTCGTCTGATATGGGAACAGCAGCAAGCTCTGTATTCACAACCTTCAACACATCACTCGCCCGGTTGCGCAGCGCCTGTGCATCCTTGCGTCCAACCACGGCGATGAAGCTCCCATCACCACTCCATATCTGGTTCTTCCTAAAGCGCTCCACGACTGGCTTGGTGAAGTCGACACCCCCAAGGTTCATCGCATGAAATTTCTTGTGTAGCGCTGCGTCCTCAGCATTCGACGGTATGTACTGCATTCCACATGTCTTGCATGTTTTGCGCGTCTCTGAAGCCAGGTCTAACTGCATCTGTACCATCTGCTTCTTTTTTGGTGCTGGCTTCGGTGGACTTTGCGCATTGTGACTCCGTTCTGTAAGGGGTTCTTTGGCGGGCGTGCTCGGCTTGAGTTGCTTCTTGAATATCGAAAAGACTGGTCGCCGTTTTTGAATGGGTGGAGGGGAGCTGCGCGGTGCGGGCGACGATGGTGGACTAGACCGAGGCGGTTCGTCTGAGAAGACTGCGGGCGAGTCTTTGGGGCTGGATGGAGGGGCGGTGGAGCTTTCACGCTCGCATTCGAGAGATGAAATGACAATCGTAGGAGCATTATCCAACGGGGTCAAGGTCGTCGTTTCGGTACTTTCGATTGTCGTCTCGACGCGTCTTCGTTTGGTAGGCGGTTCTTCATCGTAGAGTTGGCGCTTCGTGTGTCGCGAATAGGTTCTGACAACCCTTCTGGACTATGTTAGACATGCGACATATATTCAATTGAATCGGCTTACTTTGCTCCGAAGGACGACATTACGGCGCTGTTGGCAAGCATCGTAGGAGCAGGGAGTGCTGGACCGCCCACGCGACAGACGCGTTTTAGCGCGCTGCGCTAGTGCCCGCCCGCCTGCACGACGTCACGCCTCGTCCTCTCACATGTCACCTGGTCAGTCCCAAACATCGTGTTCAAGGATATACTTCACAGTCATCAAGTCTTTGCGCGTTTTTTCGATACGGCGATATGCTTGCATCGTTCTTGACTAATCAAAAGGGCGAGCACCGCTAGTTCAGGCAACCGGTCGATATCCCAGCAGGGAAGGTGCGTTTGCTTCGTGCTGACTGGCCTTATCATGGTCACTCAAAGGGCATCTATGAGTCAACGGCCGTGAAGCAATCAAGTACTAAAAGTGCACAAATACTGGACTTCCTCTACTGACCTATCTTATTCCTTCCTCACGTATTCGCACATCTCGTCGGTGTATCCATCTCCAGAATGGCGGAACAAACAACACCAGCACAGACGGGCACATCAGTTCCATCATCCATAGTGACTACCAAGCGTCTAATAATCCGTCCAATGTGCCTCGAAGATGCCCCTTCGACTTCCCTGCACGCCAACGACCCCCTCATCGCCAAGTATATGCGAGGAACGTTTCCCAGTCCATATACACAGTCCAGCGCCGAGACATGGATCAACACAAACCTCGCACTCCCATATCAACACCATTTCGTTATCTGTGAGAGATCAGCGCCAGAACTCGCAATAGGAGGCATCGGTTTGAAACTAGGCTCGGATGTGTACGCACATGTAGCCGAAGTTGGTTTCTGGGTTGGAAAGACATATTGGGGAAAAGGTTATATCACTGAGGCACTGGAAGCCTTCACAACCTGGAGTTTTGAGAGTTACGAGAACAATGGCCAACGATTGTCCAAACTCTACGCTGGGGTGTTCTCTGGCAACAGGGCGAGCATGCGGTGCTTTGAAAAGAATGGGTACATCCTCGAAGGTGTGCTGAGGGACAATGTTTACAAGAATGGTGAGATAAAGGATGAGCACATGTTCGGTATGAGAAAGGCAGACTGGGAGAAGAGATTGTGTGAGGGTGTCAGCAAATAGTGGAGTGAGGCTGGTAGCACCTGAGGTGGATCAGAGGGATCTCAGATTTGGTAGTCTTTGGAAAGGTGATCACAGTAGTGGCCAAGACAGGTTGAGAAGGCTCAAAGAGGAAGTCTAGTTTTTGATTCAAAAAGCTAAAGTGCGCTTGAGGTAACTCAAGGACCTGGTTGGGCTATGTATGCTTGGAGTTGCATGAGCAGTATCTCAACCGGCACATTGTGCCTTGCTCTCTTCATCACGACACATTTCTCATCAGCATACTTGCTGCCTTTTATCAGTTCTTGCGCTTTGTCTTCTCCAAGTAGATCCGTCAAACTGTAGACCGCAACCTTTCTGCCTCGCCAAGTGGTTGTATGAAACTCGAGCTCCGGGAACATCAGCCGGGGTTGCAGACATGCGATGACAGGACCAGTATACCAGTGTGGTGAAGAGTGAGTGACTTCTGGGGTAGCATGTGGATCCAGCTTCGCCTCAAAGCTCTTGGTAAAGTAGGCTGACCACTTTTCCAGCTCAGCCATGTTCAGATCTGCCGTCTTTTGCATATCATCCCCACGGTTATGAAGCGATCGGAATATGAGGACAGAAGACACGTCTTCGACGCCCTCAATGTCTTCAGTCCGGGGGCTCGCGACTGGAATCAATCGACCTCTGAAACCAAAGTTCCAGCTGAGCTTACTCCCTACTGTCTTGCGCATCACGTCCAGTATGAAGTCTGGCATGTCCTCCCTCCAAACCATCTTCTTCAAGCCCAGCCCGCCAAACTTTTCGGCCATGCGTGAGTTCAGGGCTTTTTCCCAGGCTTTCTTCTTGCCCAGTTGTACAGTAATCCGACGAGTCCCAAGGAAGCGGTGTGGGGGTCCGAGGTGCTTCTTGTCCGTCGTGAGAGAGACAGGCAGGAGCCAAGGGTCTTTAGTCGTAGGGTGCGCGCGTGCGTGGAGAGAGGTTAGGAAAGCGCTGGGGAGGGAGATCATTGTTGCGCGGCATTGACGGACTGGCGATGCCAACGCGTGGGCTGAAAAATTAGTTTTACATTGCCATCGAGGGACAGCATTATGCATACCGAATGGATTCTCCCATAGTTTCTTCTGGAAAGGCGTGAATTCAGCAAAGTTCGGTCGCTCTTTCGTCTGTTCATAGCGAGACCTTTCTTCTAAGGCTACCGGGTCGAGCAATGGCGAAAGTGGAAGTTCTTTGGCTGTCTCGTCTTTGCGGAGGCGGAACGTTTGGTGGGCATCTTCGCGCGTAGGACCAAGGTCATTGCCTTTCAAGAGACGACCGGGAATATGGGCGGAGGATTGGCGGCATTGAGCCCGCGCCGGGAGTCTAGTGGGGCTCAAGCATGACGTCGGGCGACAGATCCATCTGCCTGGCATCAGGCGGGACAGGGAGCGACTGCGTGGTTCGTGTGGGTTGGAAGTGTTGCGCAGGAAGAGCCAAACGATCGCTTCGGACCCCCGGCTTGGCGCGCCGGAGCTGCGTTCACGCGGGGAGGCAGGAGCTCCCCAACATCACCATCATGGCTTCTCTATTACGGCGGGCTACAAGGCCATCAACACTACAAAGCTTTACTAGATATGGCACGCGGTCGATATCAAGCCAATTCGGCTTCCAGCCGCAATGGAGTCCACAGCAGCAGGACCAACAGACACCGCGCGCCATCTCACTGCCGATACCCTACGTGACGGAGACTACTGTGAGCTCAGCAGCGCTACTATTCAAGAGCTAGCTGACTTTATAGGGTGGAGGCTGGAAAACTTCCGACATCTTCTCGCGTCTCCTGCAAGAGCGCATCATCTGCCTGAACGGCGAAGTTGACGACTACATGTCCGCCAACGCTGTCGCCCAGCTCCTCTTCCTCGAAGCCGACAACCCCGAGAAACCCATATCCATGTACATCAACTCGCCTGGTGGCAGCGTGAGCGCCGGTCTTGCCATCTACGATACCATGAACTACATCCGCTGCCCAGTCAGCACGATATGCATGGGCATCGCAGCCTCCATGGGATCACTGCTGCTTGCAGGCGGAGCCGAGGGCCAGCGATACATATTACCACATGCGCGAGTCATGATACACCAGCCGAGTGGCGGATACCGTGGCAAGGCAAGCGATATCGCGGACCATGCCAAAGAGATCCTTAGGATACGGGACAAGCTAAACAAGATATACCAGTCGCATGTTACGAAGAAGAGGACGTTGGAGGAGATTGAGAAGTACATGGAGCGCGACTACTTCATGGACGCGCAAGAGGCGGTAGACTTTGGTATCGTGGACAAGATACTAGAAAAGAGAGAGGCGCCGGCTAAGGAAGAGGAGAAGAAATAGGAACGCCAACTACCGAATAGTACAAGTAAGACCATGACCACTTATCATCGGAGTGTGTCTGCTATCAATACTGCGCCCGTGTAGTAGCTTCATGCCATCTTTGGGGCCAAGGTTTGTGTGTCTTCTACATACCACTTTTGCTTATTATAGATCACCAGAACCGGAACAGCTCTATCACACAATCGTCAAATACGTTTGCAGATGCTGCACTCGAAGTTTCGTTACAATGGCATGTACATGTGCTGCAGTGCCTTCAAGTGGTTCAAATTGCTACGCCTCACCCCTGCCTAACCGCTACCAGGTACATTCCGGTCACGTTTTCAACCTTTCCATACAACCCTGTTTTGTTTCTGCAACGCAAATCTGTATTCGACATGAGCTCTCGTTGTGTTGATAAGCGCGCGCTTTCTCGATACGTAACTGAGACGGTCCTGATCCTGCCGAAGCGCTGTTCGTTCCTCATGATCCTGCTTAGGCGACACAGCGACAACTCTTAAACTCCAGGAGAAGATGCATTCTGAATATCAGTCAGAGAGAAACATACAAACATCTTTACTACTTACAATGTCAGCACCTGTGTTTACCTTCAACACCTCATCGCTCCGATCGCCGTCACCAGCGTCAGCAAGTAAGCCAGCTGTGGGTGCAAGCCGTGTGCCCATAGATAGAAGAACTGACGATAGTCAAATGCTGGCGTAAGTATGTTGTATCTGACTATTGCTACTGCTAATGTCCCGTAGATTTGACAGCCCTATGCTGAAAGTGCGCGTTGGGTCAGGCCTCAACGCGGCATCATTCTTCGTGCATTCGACACTCCTCACATCCAGATCCGACTTCTTCAAGCATGCCACTAGTCAGGACTCGAAAGAAAACGAAGAAACTACAGTTGCACTACCAGAAGAAAATCCCGACACGTTTCGTCGATACCTCAACCTGGTATACGCACGCCAGCTGATAGTCACCAAAGGGATTATGCAATGGCTGAAACTATGCCGTCTCTACGTACTAGCGGAGAAACTACAAGACATCACATCCAAGAACCAGATCATCGACGGGATGTGCGGCTTCTTCAACGCTATTACCTGCCGACCCGCCGTGGAAGGAAGGATCCATTGTGGGCTTCCGGCTGAAGCAACAGCGGAGCTGTATGACGGTACCACACATGGAAGCGGGGCCCGAAGACTCCTTGTGGACCTATACACAGACTTCGGCTCGGAAATCTGGCTTCAAAGCTATTCATCAACCGCTTTGCCCGAGGAGTTCATCCATGAAATCGCTATTCGCTTGATTGAAAAGCGCGGTCCTGTGTTCTCTGATTTCCGAAATAGCTGTCCATCGTACAAATATCATGACGTCCGCGCATCTCCCCCGGAAGTGACCCCAACTGGAATAGGAGAAGTTGAGCCAGTCTTGGCAGACGAGCGGAGCGATGCGACGCAAGCCCTTACAGTGACGAAGAAGGAGCCTGGTGGAGAAGTGCGAGAGCCCAAAGATATCAAGGAAGAAATGAAGCGTGGAAGCTCTGATGTTGCAGCTGATCAAGTTGCAACAAAACCCTCCTGCCAGAATATTGCGGCCTCTACGGCTAAGCCCGTGTTTGGAGGCCCACTAAAAGTGAGATGAGAGCTCAGGAGAATGAAGAAGGCATACCACGCACATATGTTACATTGTATTTGGAAATGTTGTCGCTAATTCTAATGACTTTGTTCAACGGAATGGTGGCGTAGAGATGTTCATATCATGCGTCTGTAAGATAGCCTTGTTCCTGTTCAAGCGCTTTGAATACACTCAGCCAAGCCACTCCAGCTGTCGGCGACCCAAGGCGCAAGTGCAACTGCCCTCTGAGCATCTCCCACATCGCCAGTACCACCCATCGCGCCTGCCAACCCAACAGCACCAAGCGTTCCATTCGGCGGTGCGTTGCGCATCGCAGTTTCCTTTGCAAGAGTACTGGCGAATGCATCACCTCCAGCAGCGTCAGCAAGCTCTGTCCAACCAGTGTGTTTCCAGGGGGCAAGCATGACACTGCGACGAGCTTCATCTAATTCTTGCTCCTCTCCACCTAGACTGACTGAGATGGCTTCGATAACCTTTTCCACGCGTGCCAACTGTTCGTCGCCGAGCTCTTTGTTCGTACGCAGTCGGTCTAGATCGTCTTTGATGGCTTCCATGGTTTCCAAGTCATCGTCCAGTACCGTCATGGCGCCAATGAGGGTCAGCAAGCCAACATGGCCTTCGTGCTTCTCAATGGCGGTAAAGAGCTGGTCGCGAGCCACTTGCTTCTCGTTCTCCCCGCCCTTGGCCCAAAGTACTTCGGCGAGAATGCAGATGATGTCTGGGTTGGCACCAGTTGCCTCGAGCGATGTTCGGAAGTACGGTATCGCGGCGTCGAATGAGCCACTAAAGTAGTGTGCTAGACCAGCTGTGAGACGAGCTGATAGCTTAGTCTTCGAGATCTGGTCCCCGGATAATGCAGACTGCTTGGTATCGCTGTCCAGTTCAGAGAGCAGATCAAGTGCTGTCTCAGCTTCTTCAACAGCCGATTTGAAGGACTCGATAGCGAGAAGGTTGCGGGCCAGATCTGTCTTGGCTTGTGCAACCCGAGCCAGGGACGCCAGCGACTCTGACTTCTCATACTCTTGCTCAACTGTCTCGTTCACAGCTTGCAGAGCTCCTACGGCAGCGTCGTAGTTGCCAATACGCTCCAAGAACAACGCCGCTAGATGCTTGTGCGGAATGTCGTAGGGTGCTTGTATGTTGAGCTGTTGGAGCGCGAACAGGGGTTGTATGAGGTTCGTGATGTTGCTGGATGACGAAGGCGAAGACACAAGGAAGTCGAAAGCCGAGACGGCGTACTGACGTTTGGTCAAAAGCAGTGACGACTCTGAAAGCTCGAATGCGTGAGTGAAGTGGGAGAGCGCCTCGTTGGAATCTCCGGTGAGCAATGCGATGATGCCTTCGCCGACCCATGCTAGTGAGTAGTCGGGGTCTTGCGATTGCGCCCTTGAGAAGGCAGTGTGCGCAAGTTCGTGATCATTTTGTAACAAGTAAAGCGCTCCTAGGTTCGTCCAGGTGTGCACACTTCGTTCGTTGAGATGTAGGGAGCGAACAAAGGCATGCTGAGCGACTTTGGGACTCAGTGTAGTCGTGATGACACCAAGCGAGTTCCAGAACTCCGAGTTACCGGCTTCTAGTTCGATGGCACGCTTGAAACACTTCATGGCTGCTCGAAGGTATGTTGTGAGTTTCGACCCCTCAATGCCTTCCTGCTCTAAGCAGACGTGTGCTCTGTACTCTGTCCAGCCTAGGTTGTACCACGCTACAGCCTGTGCGTGTATGTCATGCGCACAACTGGAAACTGCTCGTTTTTGTGCAAGTATTGAGGCTTTGAGCACCTTGGTAAGGGTATCGTCCTTGTCTGCGGAAAGTGCAGCCAGCGTATCCTGTCCAAGCCCATCGATATCCTTGTGTTCATCAAAATCGATGTTCATATCCGACTCGCTGCGCAGCACCTTCTCGATCAGCTCCACGGGAAACTGCTTGAGTTTATCTTGGACCCAAGTGAACAAACTGCATGCATCGCCAACAGCTTTCCATAGGTTGAAAGCATCCGGCTTGTACTCGGTAATTGACAACGCAACTTCGATACCGCGGGTCGCACTATCGGCAGCCTCGCCGAAGAAACCGGTCTCAATGCAATGCCACCCCTTCTCTACGAGAGTCTGCAAAAGTGCTATCGAGACACCAAACTCTTTTGGCCGAGACGCTAGTACAGCTTCGTAACCTGCGAGAGCTTCATTGAATTCACTCAACTCGCGGTTGACGTTGGCGAGCATGTACTTGGTGAACCACCCCTCTTGGTCAGACCTCTTCAAAACAACGCCATCTGTCGGGTTTTCTGCATAGTTGAACGCGCGTGATGCTGAGTTATATCGACCCGAGTTGTGGTAGCTCTCCCCGAGACCAACGTAGGAGTAGTAGTCATCCGGACTAATGCGTAGTGCGGATAAGAAGGACACGATACTCTTTTGATACTCTTGCTTGTTCATCTGGACGACACCGAGTGCAGAAAACGGCCAGCTGACGCCTTTTCGTTTCGATCCTGGTGTCTGACGGGCTTTTCCGGAGTCTACCACTCGCTGGGACACGACTTCGACAATGTCCCACTCGCCTTGGTTGGCGAAAAGGCGAGCAAGGCGCTCAGCTGCGACGACCTCAGAGGGCGATAGCTCGAAGGCTTTTTGGAAGCACTGCCTTGCTCGTCTGCGGTCCTTGTTGTAATCTTCGTAGAAAATGCCAAGCAGAGTATATGCGGGCGCATAGTTCGGGTTTGCTTTGATCGCTGCGAGCAGCTTCGCATACGTTCCTTGGCGGTCCTTCCTCGCTTGCTTTGACGGATCGAGCTCCCATATACATACACCTATTCTATAAAGTGTCTGTGCGCGGAGCTCGCGGCCACGTTGCTTGGAGGCATCGAGCTGCGGGTAATCGAGGTACTCCTGGAGCCTTTCCAAACCGGTCTTGTAGTCACCGGCAAGTGCTTGACACCAGGCTGATTCTGCACCTATGCGACCATTTGAGGGATCTTGCTTTAGTGCCTTCTCAAGGAATTGGAAGGCTTGCTCATATTCCTCTTCTTCTTCTAGGACCAACCCGATGCCGATGAGAGCAGAGGTGAACTGTGGCTTGCGTTTCAAGATGGATTCGAAGATACCCTTGGCTTCCAGATGATTTCTTGGGGCCTGATAGTAGACTAAAGCAGTAGCAAGCGTACTACTCAAAGCGTCGCGAGTTCTCTGAAGTGATAAGTCGGTCTTCTTAGCCTCCGCAGCAGCATATTTCAAGCCTTTCCTTGTGCTCTCGACCGCGCTTTCGTACTCCTCCAAGGACAGGTAGTAGTCTCCGAGCAAGCAATGTGCAAGTGGCGATCTTCCAGCCTCGGTAATTCCTTCAGTCATCAACACCAGACAGTCCTCCTGTGAGACTGGAACATCTTGAGTAAGAGCTACCCCACCCTCGCTCAGGTCAGGTCCTTCTCTTGAGTCGCCTTCTTCTACAAGCGGGTATCTTGATATACCGCTGCTCAACCAGCCTGTGATGACTTTTGATAGTCCCTCGTTGGGGAACAGCTCAATGAACTGCCGCAATGTCGATATGTCGAGATCCAGCAGGTCGTGCGCACTGTCCGCGTGTGACGCCATGACAGCAAACCGAATTTTGAAACCCAGCCAATGCAATGCAGAACCCCGATAGATGCTATATAAAAAGGCAGTCAAATCACCCGGGTCGTCTGCCGGGATTTATCGTGAAGAGTGGCGGCAAGTGAGTTGCAGAGTGGTTGACGTTGATGTTCGTGTTTTGGTAAGGCTGAAGCCCAGGATCGACGCTAGCATGCCGTGCGTCATTGCCTGCTCTTTCGACGCTGCGAGCCCCACACCAAAGCTCCAATTCACTCCTCATGGCACCTTCATAACACAAATAGCGCCGTACGGACGGCTACTCCCCAAACTATCGCTACCCAAATCAACGACATGTCTACGAAAACGGCGCTGAAGGCTGCGAAGGCGGCGATTGGCGCAAAGGATTGGGAGGAAGCGAAGAGCCAAGCGACAGCAGTGCTGGAGAAGGAGCCCCAAAACTACTTCGCCTACTTGTTCCTCGGACGCGCCAACGACGGCCTGAGCAGATTCGACGAAGCGGCGAAAGCCTACTATGACGCGACCAAGCTCAAGCCTGAAGATCCACAGGCATGGCTCGGGCTAAGGGGCATGTACGAAGGTCTCAAGGGCGCCAAGGTTGATGAAAACATCGACGTTGGGCTAGAACTAGCGCAGATCTACATGAACTTGTATGTCTTGTATATACAGATGGGGAGATTACAATGCTAACAAGAACAGGGACGACGCGCACAAGTCCCAATCTGCCATCGATAAGCTCGTAGATCACGCCCGTGCCCATGGCACCAAGACTCAATATGCACGCGCACTCAGTACCCAGCTGCCGTCCTCTCCCGTATACTCTTACCTCGAAGGTCGTCTGCCAGACCCGTCAAAAACGTACACGCGCATCGCCGAGATCCACGAGACACAGGAGGCTTCCACAATCAAGCGGCTCATAGAAGAGAGACGACTTCGCATCGGCGCGACACTGGAGGGTACCACAGCCTCTGTTAAGAACGAAATATACGCTACTAGCCCGCTGGAAGGGATATACGAGGAGATCATCAACTGGACGGGCGATGACGAGCTGAGACGGGAATACGAGGAGAAGCTGCTGGCTAGAGCGTACGATACCTTGATGGTGCTGCCATCAGGAGAGAAGGCGGAGAAGAGGGAGAAAGTCATGAAGCTGGCCCATGACATGGTTGTGATCAAGCACCCGAACCTCCTGGCTTGGACAATCGAGCTGGAGTGGCGGAGCGGTATGGAGGTCGAGGCATACTAGACGATTTCACGAGATTCTGCATAGCAAGGCGTTTGGCTGTTCCATGACCGTTTTGGGGGGAATTTGGCACATGAATGGGACCAAGTTCGGACCCCCTTCTGAAATATACGAACGTTTGCATTATGATAATCTTTGCGCAAAAATGTTTCCAGACGCCAAACGCCACCCATGCTACCCTTGCTCTCTACGCGTTCGCCGCGCCTACGACCCTCTTTCTCTCCTCTACACTGTAAAGACTTTCGCCTTGTTTGAGCGCATGAATGAGCATCGGCACACTGCTCGCCTTGAAGTCTGGTGCTTCACGCACTTTGTCGAGATCGTCAGCGAACTCAGCCGCGATTTTGCGCAGATAGAGGGCGCCGAAATCGTCTTGCGCCTGTTGACTAGCCTTTGACGCTGCCTGTTTTGGTGGCGGAGAAGCTGGTACATCCGTCATAGCGACATCTTCATCTGGCTGAGCCTCTGGAGCACTGCCTGTCTTGGACTTCTTCTTCTTCTCTTTCTTAGTGGGTGCTGGTGCTGGCGCTGGCGAAACATCCTTCTTCGAGTCAGATCAGATCAGACCTGTTCAACGCGACACTCATACCTTTGTTTCTTCTTCTACCGCGGCCACCTTTTGACTCTTTACACTTGAGACATCGCTGTCACTTTCGCTCGATGATGAGACTGTCCAGTTATTAGCGTATACCTCGTGAACTGTTCAACAGCGCTCCTCGTACCCTCAGTTCTCGTCCTCCTCTTCTTCGACCGCTTCTTCTTTTCGATACCGCTTGCTCCTCTTTGCGGCGCCATTTCGTCGTGTTTGGTAGAGTAGGAAAAAGTTCGAGACGTGAATGTTGGTTATCGATAAGGCACGTGCGCCGCTAAGTCAAGGGTCTGCACGCTTACTGGTCCTCATCTCTCTCGGCTCATAGCATCACGGCAGTACCAGAATACGTCGAAGAAAGAGGCCTGTCCATCGTGTATCTGATTTTCAAAGACTGATGATGTCGATGCTACGCTTGCCACGCTGCGAGATGCGATTACCTCTATCTGAAATAACCCGGGAACCCTATCATCCTTCAGCCTCTTCTACAAGATGCTCTCTATCGTAGCAAGCTCTTCCATGGCACTCTTTACGCTCGTCTTGATTGCGTCGCCAACTGGCAAGTACGGTCGCCTTGGATTGAGCTTCCCCTCGGCGCCCTCGATGCCAGCAGCTTTCGCACTGTATTGACTAACAGCATGCTTCGTGGGAGCGATTCCAGCCTTGATCGGGCTCTCCGCGAGCGCCGCCTTGCGGTGAAGCTCCAAGGCTTCTTGAGTCTTCCCAGTAGTATACCACTCGTAGACCTTTGAGCAAACCTTCGGGAAGACGTTACTGAATGCTGACACACATCCTGCACTTCCAACTGCGAGGCCAGCAACCAACCAATCCGCTTGGCCTGCATACGTAGAGAAGGTATCGCTTGGCAGCTCAGCACATAGCCTGGTTATCTTCGCGACGCTGCCACACGTCAACTTTACGCCGACAATCTTGCCAGGGTTCCGTTTTGCGAGCGCGGCGATCGTGACAGAATCAAGGTCCACCCCATTGCAGATACCCGGGAAGTTGTAGATGACGATAGGCAACTCGGATTTCTGCGCAACCTCATCGTAGAAAGCCATGACAACTTCTTTAGAAGCTGCTGGCCCATAGTACGCCGCTGGTAGCAAAAGTCCATGATTGGCTCCAGCCTCAATTGCGTCGCTAATGTTCTCCATGACTTGAGGTACAGAGAAGCCTGAGATGCCGACCATCAGAGGGTAGTCGGGGCCGACGGCCTCACGAGCACATTTCATCAACGCTCTCTTCTCATCGCGAGTGAGGAGAAATGCCTCAGCGTTAGAGCCAAGAACGACTAAACCAGTAAGACCCGATTTGGAGAGGTATTGGAAATACTGTTTCTGTGCGGCGAGATCCAAGGTTGCCGTGTCGCTTTCGGGAGTGTAGAAGGTTACTGCGGGGCACCATACGCCCGGAGCTGGAGGAGGAGCCATAGCGACTGTAATTGTTGATAATAGCTTCCAGGGAGGGTATGCTTTCTGGGTCGACCTTAGTGATCAAAGCGGGGAGGCGGGGTGCAGGTGGGGTAGTAAATCCGACAATGGAAACCTGCGAGCGTTTCTGTAATCAATACTTATTTCAATGTTCAGCAGCACATAGGTAGTAATATATGAGATCTGAGTTGGGAGGATGAAAGGTGGCCATGCACCATCGGAGTCATGCCGTGGGCCTTCAATAGCCGCTGCGCGGAACGTCCACGGGTTCCGACTGTCCCGATGCTCGCATTTGTTGAGCCTCATCTTGTGCCAATCTCCACTCTTCCAATAACGGCCTTCCAGATAGCGACCTTTCTCGTGAAATCCACCGAATGTATTTGGAGATGTATCACTATAAGAATGCCTTGGGAGTGGCCGGTCCACCCCTCACCTGCCCTTCGTAGGTTGGCCCCACTGCTTTCGGTGGTAGACTGGACCGCTGCTGCCAATCGTAGACCTATGAAACAACAGCATGTTTCTCGGCTCGATCATCGTCATGAATACAGCCATTCTAGATAAGAATGAGAAGAGTTTTCTGTCGGCATATTCGACTATCCAGGGCAGCATTACGATCGATCCTCTTGCTAAACTTGACTCAACCCTAGCATAGGCAGATCCTAGTGTCCAGGCTGATTGCATGTGTCTATTCCAATGAGAGAACCTCTTCTCAAGCGGGCAAGATGTCGTCTCCGAAAAGTCATTCATGTCCCCCGCCCCCGCGAAACCCATATCAGCAAAAAAGGACTCACGCGACACGATCAACAAGCTCCTGACTTGGCGAATGCAACGACAGTCACGATTACCAAACCCAGAAACAGGCTCCAGAAAATACTCATGGCTGTATCGAAGAAGTACAGAGGACGATTACACAACGAACTCGCACAAAGGCTTCATCAGGACGTTCGCAACGCCCGAAGCATCGACATGTCACGCACTATGGATGTTCCTACCCCTGTTCTCGTACCTACACAAGGGCAGAGTTCATCGTTCTTATTGATGCCTGCAGAGATTCGAAACGAAGTCTATCGGTATCTCCTGCCGGATGTTACCAGCCTGCGAGACGTTACCGGTCTTCTTAGCGCTTGCAAGCAGATCCGTCAAGAGTTTTCCAGCATGATAGTCGCCGAGAGCCAGTTAGTCATGAACGGCGCAGTACAGAAGAGCATCGATATGGTTCAAGTAGCTTTTTCCACTACTGAGATAGATACGGTCATCGGCACGCCCCAGATCCAGACGCACTCCCACCTTCATAACGTGAAAGTCCGTCTCGGAATGCGCGATACACGCTCGCTACCTGCCGACGCAAATGAACCACGCATATACTTCGACGACGTCTTCGCCTCGTTCCGCGAATTACTGAGCCTACATCTACCTTACGTTACCGTCAATGTCCCTGCCGCAATCGCCAAAGACGCCAGTATAGCCGATCCCGAACTTCGACATCGCCTGCTAGACGCATGCATCTTTACCTTCAGGGGATTGGAAGAGACTCCAGGGGTCACATTGAACGTGCAGCACGTTATATTCAAGATTCAGACTCACAAGTGGGATACCGCGGCTCTTATACATGAACCTGTTGTAGTCTTTGTAAGACGTATCAACGAACAGAAAGAGATTAAGTTTGATCTGCTTTGGAAGGACCCAAGGACGGAGAGCCAGCAAAACTCCACAGATATGGCAATGATGGCACAGTTGAAAGATATCGTAAGGAAGAGTCGAGAAGCTACTTTAAGTGATCATTAGAGACGCCACACAGAGCTGCATACTACTGGCAAGCAACGTTGGAGATGCGAACCTGTGGCTGATCACTCCTAATCGCTAGGATATTTCTGAGAATTTAGTTCATGGGAAGCGACGCATATTCCGTAATAATTACAAACAAATTGACTTACCTTGGGTCGCCTAATGATATCCCCACAACAAGTACGAAACTGGTCTGGGCTCCTTCGACATGTGGATTAAAGAGTTTTCTCGTTGCCATCTGACCAAGTCTAAACGTATGGGTTCCAAGGCTGCCCTTTCGCATGGGTATAATTGTATTCTTTGCCGCCAAAACACCATCACCTACCACTGCCCCTCCTGCCCGCCTAAACTCTGAAACTAGGGAATATATCGAGATAGGTCGCGCGGTTAGCAGAATCGCGCGAGGAGACTCCGACTCGATGACCAGTGGGTACAGCAAGTCAGCTCCTACCCAGGACGGCACCAATCGCCTCCTCCAATTGCCAGGCGAGATACGCAACACGATCTACGAATACGCACTCACCGCCAACCATCACGAGCTCTTCTATCGCGATTCGATCGACTTCGACACCATACCCCAGGCAGTGACCGAAGAGGTCAACAGTATAGACGATATCTGGCACGCAACACCCCAAGAATGTGTGGATGCGTATTACGAACATGAGTCCGCGCAGGGCGTAAAGCTGTGTTCTACCGCAGAATCTACATCCGAGTTCAACCAGCTGAAGTACGTGTGCAAGCAACTCTACAAAGAGACCAAGCACTTGTCACTGTTATACAACGATATCGTATTCGCCCAAGACAACGTATGCGCTCAAAACGCTACCCATCAGTTCATTCCCTTCGTGCGCCAATGCGACAAGTCTTGGACTTCTCAAGTCAAAACTGTGGAAATTCGACCATTAGTTCGCTCCAAAGATGAACGAGTGGATGTCGGAGGCCTCATCGTGAAAGGGCACTTCGATGAGTTGCGCATTACGTTAGCCGACCCCTGCCATAAGCTAAATCTCCTGGCCGACTACTGCATCGAAAATCCCAGGGTGCATGTCCGATTCCGTTTATTGGCATATGGACCATTGTGTCTTATGTATCATGAGGCAGCGCTTTTTCAACGTCGACTTCCCTCAGTCTTCTATGGAAATGGGACCTGCGTACCTTTTGGCAACCATCTGCGTGTTGTCAACGACCATTGCAAGACTCTAGCTGTTCGGCTGAGCCAATGTCGCAATTTTCGGTTGTTCCTTACCAAAGAGGAAGCGTTTGATGAGCAAAAACTTAGGAGGTGTATGGTAGAACATAAGTTCTTTCGCAGACACATCTTACCGCTACGTGATGGGGGATTGGAGGAATGCATCGAGGGTAGGAGGAGTATCTTTCTTGAGGGGGTGTGATTACAGGTAGTCTCAGAGAGGGCGAACGCGATGCATTAGTAACAGAAGGACATCTGCGCTTAGCACAAGGCATCTATTCGCTCAAATATGATTCCTTCATTCGACAATTACCAAACTACATCCTTAGATCTTAATTCCCTCCAAAATCGGCTTCGCCTCCTCACTCTGCCACCATCCATCCTTACCACCAGGGAAGCTAAACCGATCCATACTCTCAGGCTTCATCTCAACCGAGTAACCAGGATCCATAGGAGTAACATAGTAACCGTTCTCAATCCTGGACGGGTGAAAAAAGTGCTCATGCAGATGGTCAACGTACTCCAACACCGACTTCTTCCCTGACACGACAACGTAGTCGATGGTGGAAAGATGCTGTGTGTACTCTGGTAGACCGACACCACCCGAGTGCGGTACGATGGGGATGTTGAACTTGGCGGCCATGAGGAGCACGGCAATGACTTCGTTGACACCGCCGAGGCGGCAGGCGTCGATTTGGCAAATGTCGATGGCGCCTGAGGCAAGGAATTGCTTGAACATGACGCGGTTTTGGCACATTTCTCCTGTTGCGACGCCGATGTTGTATGGCTTTAGGGCTTCGCGAATCGCTTTGTGGCCGAGGACTGTTGAGGTCAGTATGCGTTTCTCTATAGCATAGAAGGAAGGAAAGGGGTACGTACCGTCATCAGGGCTGGTGGGCTCCTCGATGAACCATGGCTTGAACTCCTTCAACGCCTTCATGTACTCAATCGCCTCCGGTACACTCCAGACTTGGTTTGCATCTACCATGAGCACATTACCCTTGTCGAAACCAATGATCTCTCGTGCGATGCTTAGACGCTGCTTGTCTTGCGCGATATCGCTTCCGACCTTGAGCTTGAAGTGCTTGTATCCCTTTGACAGTGTCTCCTTCAGAAGACCACGCATCTTGTCTTCACCGTAACCGAGCCATCCCGCAGAAGTAGTGTATGCGGGGACAGCGCGGCTATCAAGGGCTTCTTGGAGTCGCTCCTTCTTACCGGCTTCGGCTTTGGTCAAGATCTCCAGCGCCTCCTCGGGGGTGATTGCATCGGTGATGTAGCGGAAATCGATCAAGTCGACTATTTGCTGGGGTGTCATGTCTGCAACGATGCGCCATACAGGTTGGCCGAGCGATTTCGCCCAGAGATCCCAGATGGCGTTTACAACGGCACCGAGAGCGAGGTGGATGACACCCTTTTCGGGTCCAATCCACCGGAGTTGAGAGTCGTTTACCAGGTGGCGCCATGTCTTTCCCCAGTTGGCAACTAGTGAGTCGAGTGTGTGGCCCTTGATGCGGTCGGCAAGGTAGGCGATGGCGGTGCATACAATCTCGTTACCGCGGCCAATTGTGAAGGTCTGCAAATTGTAAGCAATGAGGAAACGAATGGATTCAGTTGCCAAGTGGTCACAAGTTGGCCGGTTCAGGGGTATCCATGAGTTGAGGGAAGAGATGAGATGATCACCTGGGCAGGGCGGAGTCGCCAAAGTAGCTCATCTCTTCTACTCATGGCCAAGATCGAATCAGATTAGACTTACCATACCATGACCCTTGAACTCAGAGTCTGTGTGTAGGATACAGTAAGCTGAAGAGTAGTCTCCCGCTGCGTTCATAGCATCGGAACCAGTCTTGTCAAGGGATGTCTATTGCAGACGCGTTAGATTCCTCTTTCTCTATTGTATAGCTTGAATGACTAGGGAGCATACCGGAAACCGCACATCCCTCGTCTCAGCACCTGTGATTGTGATGGCCATTGTGGTGTTTTCGTTGTGTTGCTACCGATGTTCGGAATGATCGGAATACCCCGC